GTGTTGTTTGCATATGAGATATGTGTTAGGTATGTGTGTTGGTATGTGAGTCCTCTTGCCCCCCAGCATGTCCAGGGACCCTCCTGGGGCTTCATTAGCATTGGCCAGTTAATGATTCCTAAACCTTGGCTGACCTTCCTGGATTCTTCCAGACACCTTGTGTAAAAAACTCCTCTTTCTCTGCTGTGCCAGGACAAGGGGATTTGAGGTCTTAACTTTACCCAGTATCAAAAAAGAGGGAGTATAGTGTGTCGAAAGAATCTACCTTCAAACACGCACACAGTCATCAGTGACTACCTCTTCCTATCACCTCAGTCTTGCACTCAGGAATCATTTTCATAGGTTGATTATTACATTTTTTACATTTTTTTTTACATTTTTGTGGCATTGGGATTACTTTTTACCTGTTTTCCTAAAAGAAAGATCACTTTTACCTGTTTTTTCTGAACAAAAAGTTTCAACAACAAACAAACACAAAAGAACAAAAGAAAAAAAAAACATGGACTCAGACTCAGATTCTCCGTTTAATTACTCCTGGCCCTCCTTTCCCAGGATGAGGATTCGGAAACGGACGCCAAAACCAGGTAATGAGGGAGGGGGACGTAAAAAAGAATGAGAGAGAGGGAGGGTGAGACTAAGTGACAATTACGGGGTTGGTGGAGGAGCATATATGCAAAGTTTCAATATTAATTGAAGGATATTAACAGTTGCTAATACCAATTGGTGAGGAGGTGGGGTTTAGTTTTGTACTGGAGCTGTGTTACAGCTGTATTAGGTTATGTAACGTATGTTTGTCCGTGTTTTGTTGGTAACAATATTAGAATGTGTACAGGTACCCGTGTACTCAGAGCTGCCATTGTTCAAATACTGAAATTACTATTCAGGTATTTGTTTTATCATGGCAACATCTACAGGTCACCAATTCAGGGAAATGTTGACTTGGTTTTGGCTGGACTGTAAAACATGTCAGTGTTCCGAGTGTATTATTCATTGCTACTTTTGTACACCACGATTGTAGTGTTTGTGATCCTGATTGCGAGCGCATTGCCAAGAACATTGTTAAGGACATGACTGAGAAGGCTTTTCCATGTGCAAGGCTCTAGCTATTGTTTGCCGAGTGTAGAAACAGTGGAAATATAAACCCACTAGTCACTTCATCAAGGGCACTTTCTTGTATCTACACTTTGAAGTTCTATAATTACAGACTGGAGTCCATCTGTTACTCTGCATGCTTTGTTAGCCCCATTTCACCCGGTTCTTCAGTGGTCAGGACCCCCACAGGACCACCACAGAGAAGGTATTATTTGGGTTGTGGATCATTCTCAGCACTGCAGTAACACTAACATGGTGGTGGCGTGTTAGTGTGTGTTGTGCTGGTACGAGTGGATCAGACACAGCAGTCCTGCTGGGATTTTTAAACAGTGTGTCCACTCACTGTCCACTTTATTAGACCCACCTACCTTGTTGCTCCACCTTGGTGATAGTTAGCGATAACAGCTCATCTGTAGCTGTGAGTCATGATCTAGTCCAGTGGTCACAGGATGCTGTTGGCTGAATATTTCTGGTTGGTGGACTATCCTCAGTCCAGCAGTGACGTTGAAGTGTTTAAAAACTCCGACACTGCTGTGTCTGATCCACTCCTACCAGCACAACACACTACTAACACACCACCACCAGGTCAGTGTCACTGCAGTGCTGTGAATGATCCACCACCCCAATAATACCTGCTCTATTGTGGTCCTGTGGAGGTCCTCACTATTTAAGAACAGGCTAAAAGTGGGCTAACAAAGTATGCAGAGAAACAGATGGACTACAGTCTGTAATTGTAGAACTACAGAGTGCACCAATTAGTGAGTGGAGTTGATAAACTGGAAAAAGAGTGCAGAAAAGAAGGAAGTGTCCTCAAGTGACTGGTCAATGTATTTCTCTGACAAAGCAACATGGCAAGTCATCTACTGAAGGCAAAATACCTTGTGCAGAAGAAGAGCCCATCACCCATCCAGCACTATACCAATAAGTGTTGGCTCATTAGTTTGTCTAAAGAGGCAGCTTCTGTTACTCATCCAGCTTGAAAACCTGCCAGTTCCCTCCAATATCAGAATAATAAATTACATTTTCAGATTGTAACCTCCAGTGCTATAAAGTAAGCCTTATGTTTATTGTTCCATTTTGTTGATGCTTTTTCCTTGCGTGTGATTACCCAGATGTCTGTTAATTACTTAGTCTTGCAGATTCTCAATTAAAATTAGTCAGAATGCACATCCATAAACATTGTTATACAGTGTAAGAAACCACTTGCACAAGTCTAAAGATATGTTCACATTGTCACAGTGAAAATTATTTGGATCTCGTCTATTCACTTTTAATGGAGTCGTTTTTGACTCCCAACATGGAGCTACCTAGATACATGCAGCCAATGATTGTAGGCTCTATCTTGTCATCCTGACACTGTAGATTTAAAAAAAAAAAAGAAATGTAGCATGTATTTCAAATAATCTGTAAAAGAACATGCTTTTGAGAAGGTGGTTTCCCCATCTTGAGTGACGTCAGTTCTTGCCACTGTACAGGGAGGTGGGCAGTGCATATTTGTCAATGTACATTTATTGAGATTACTTGTTGGCGAGCCTAAGCATCTGCCTTTTAGCTCTAGTAATAAACATAAGAATTATTTGCTTTTATTTTGGGTAACGGGGGAATATTTTGTAAATTTAGTTTTTTGGTGGACTGTTAATTGTATGTAGTTGTATTTGTATGTATGTTTTGACTACAGTGTGATTAAAATATCAGTTTAATCTAACACTTTTGTTCAGTCAGAGTACTAATTTAAGTTTACTTAAACAAGTATATTTACTTGTTACAACATTTTTTTAGTTTTTTTTTTTATACGGTGTATATTTAGAATAGCTCAGTGCACGTTGGGCTGTGTCTGTAGTGAAGGGATTTGATATACTAGCGAAATCTTCAGTTTTGAGTGGTGTGTGTGTGTGTGTGTGTAGTGGGGGATCAATTTCACTGACGTCAAGATCAGATTGTTCCGTTCTTGGAAGGACCTCACACCCATTCATCATACACACAAACAAGAGCTTTCAAATCGTCTGCAAACACACATTCACTCATCAGCTGCCTGTCTTTTCTAAAGCCCAGCCAATAAATCTGTTCTGGACATTACATTTGTTTCGCTTGATGCTATGCATTTGCAGTAACTGTTGCATATTTAAAGCATAAATAATATAACATGGCTGATTAAAGATTGGGGTGGGGCATTAACCCCAGAGATTAAAGACCCATTGGGCTGCTATAAAATAAAATATACAACATAAAATAACATGCAAAATAAAAAAAAAGAATTAATTCAAGAACAAGTTAGAAATTATAAAAATATAAAATAAATTTAGAAGTAAAATGTCTAATACAGTCTTGCAAAGACCTAAGCACACCGTCTCTTCTTTTTTTTAAGCCTTTATTTATTTAAAGGGAACACTGAGACCTGAGACATCATTTTCAGGGGTTCACTAGTACAAAATTGAAACTGCACATGATGCACTAAAGAGGAGAGTGGGGACCAAAAAAAAAACTACTGAACAAATAAAAATGGTTTATAATGGATTATAAGGAAAATGTGCTTGTTTTCGAGTGGTTTTCATTGTTTGTATGTGCATTTGTATATTTTCCAAACCTGTGGTAGCCGTGCACTGTTTAACAGTGCATTTTCATTACAGCGAGCCAAATCACTTCCCTCGACAACTGCAGGTAGCTTTTGGGGGGTCACTAAAACACAAGCAAGTTGAGGTGCAAAGAGGCAACGTCTATGAGTCATAGACCAGTTCTGAGCTCCAAAGGAGCCTAATATTATTTTTAAAAGAAAAATAAAGACATCTAATGTAATAATGACATTATTATAAACCGTTGTGTCTCCTGCTCGATGTGCCTTCCAGCGTTGAATCTCACCATGTGACTGTGGGCATGACAAACGGCTACCGCGCCACCTATCAACAACATGACTGGTTGCCGCTCAGATCATTTGCATAAAGTTCATCCAGAACAAGAGAGCAGAGAGGATGTGCATCAGCAGTTTAATGTGTCACTCACGTGTGTGTGTGTGTGTGTGTGTGTGTGTGTGTGTGTATATTGTCATATTATAGCACATTGTGATACATTCTGTTAGATGTAAATTATGGGGAAAAAAAATCTAATAATAAAAAAGGCAAATCATTCTGCTTGGCTTCATCGTTCATGCCACGAATGTGCTGCTTAAAATTAATTTAGCAACCCCAACTTAAAACACCCTCCCGTGTCCCTGGCAGCTAGTGTATAAATATTGTGTTAGCACAAGTGTCCTTGCTGTGTTATCTTGGAAATTTCCCTCTTACGGACAGGATTTCCTTTACATTAGCTCTCCAGAGAACTGCCCAGACATCAAACAGTGTTTGGTGTATGAGTGTGTCACTTGTAACTTCACTGTGTTAATATCAGGATGCACATGTTGACTGTTTATCCTGGCCGTAATGCTTCAGCTCTTTAGTAATTACTGTATTTCCGTAGTCACAGTGATAATTTGCACATGGAAGTGCATTCTTCCTTTATGAGGTTTTATTATTTATGGTACTTTTTATGGAACGTTTTCCACAAATCTGGTTGGGCTGTCTGTCAGCCTTATTTATACTGTTTGAAAACAACATTTACACCAGTGTTTATTGTTACTTCAGTAAAAACGTAGTACCAGTAGTACAGTTTGGAATGAGGGTCTAACTGAAATATCGGTTATATCAGCAATAAAGCACTGATATTGTAGTAACACTTTGCTTGAACCCTGCTAGCATTGACATAACCATGGAATGAACATGAGTTGTCATGATAGATTTTGTCCAGTTATATAACAGCACCATGTCCCTATTAGCAACAATTGTCTGTTTCAGTCCTGTTACAATCATAATTTCCATTTCAACTTCCAACTTCAGCATGAATTGAGACTTTTGTGCATGTATGTTTTGTTTTGACAGAGAAGCCATGCTCCTCTCCTGGCTCCTGCTCTCCATTCCAGCCTCACTCCACACACACTGCTGCTGCCAGACTCGCTGCCATGCTCAGCCGCTCCGGAAAGGTCCCACAGCTGCCTCTCTGCGTATGTGTCTGTGTGTTAGGGCTGCATGATATGGACAAAATACCAGTATCGTGATATGTCTACATATTGTGATTGTGATATGCTTTGCAGTATATCAAAAATACATTGGTCAGTCAATAATGTGACATGGTTAACCTTTTAAGGACTAAGCCTAGAAGTGGCTACCTAGTCTTATCTTGTTATTTTCAATTGTAATGATAAAACACACTGTCTACAAGTATTTTATATCACCAGTACAAGCTGTTCAGTAATACCATTTTTTGATTGCAAATATTAAATCTTAAAGAAAAAAAATACTATTCTGAAGCAAAGAAAAAAAATACAGAGCTGGAAATATGCTCATTTTCACATTTCACAAAACAATTTGAATGAATAATCTGAACCGTGAGCCCATTCATGACCTTATAACGGTCACTTGAAGTCTCTAGTGTGAATATATGCAGATCTGTGAAGATTTTTCTCAGCATGACAGTAGATATTTTAAGTTTATGCTTTTATTGGTGATTGGCATTGTAGGGTATTATAGGTTTTAAATTTTTCATTAGTTTTTATTTTTAGTAAGTTTTTCAATTTTGTTTTTGATTTCGGTTTAGTTTCAGTTAGCCTTATAGGCGCTTTAGTAATTTTAATTTTGTTTCTATTTTCTGAAAAGTAGTAGTTTTAGCTTAGTTTTTATTTAGTCTTAGTTGTAGTTTTTTAGTATTTTGATGAACGCTGACTGGTAGTAGTTATTTAATAGAATAAAGTGTATACAACAGAAGACGGAGCACAGCTCCGTTAACAGGCATTTTTTCACTACTAGTTTTAATTTCAGCTCCATGGTGCATTGTTATATAGCTGTATAGAGCCATATCACATGACTGACATTTTCTTAGCTGTCTCCAGGCTCTTCATTGCTTTCCTCAAAAACATTTGTAGTTTTTCAGATACTAAAGAAAACCTTGTTTTTGGGAAGTCTGAAGTCAAATGTCTAAAGTTGCACCTGCTAGCACATGGCAGCATGCTAATAACATATCACCAGTCATGTTCTGAAATGCATTTGACCTGATTGCATTTTCAATTTCACAGACTTCCCAACCTGTCAGTCATCCCATCAGGGCGGCTGAAGAGTTTATAGCTACTCTTATGTGCGCAGATGAGGTGAAGAGAAATATAGCCACTTGTGATGATATCTTTACTCATGACCCCGTAAGAAAGCGTTTAATCAAACGTGTGGCCAAGGTTTCTGATTTATCAATCTGATTGATAAAAATTAGACTAAACTGGGCTTTGTTCTCGTCAACTTCTTTTTCAAATTTTTTGCATTACTCTGAACAGTGCAGCAGTTATATTCTGGTGCCTCAATGTACCCAAATGTTACAGCAGCACTATTTAAGGTGGACTGGAAAATTAAAAAAAAAAAAAGCTAACTTGAGCCTTAGTTCAAAAGCTGAGAACAGTGGCTGAAAGCGAGATAGGACTTCCAGGTTAGGCCATGTCGGGATATCTTCTACAAAGTGAGCATCAGAGGTGGATATATTGCTCTGCCATTACCTTGCCTGCTAACATGCTACTTGAATTATGGAGGGCTGCAGAATTTTGCTAGCTAGCTAACACTACATTCCGAAACAAGGCCCCCATCTGCTGTTTTTACCAGCTGGCTAACATGATCCGGTTAGATTTCTACAATTCAAAATAATTGCTGTCACCAAGTTAAATAATAAATAGGTTAAATGTTAACATTTATTACTGCATATGTAACTATTACCTAACAACCATTAACAGACTATTAGTTGCTAGATAGAAGTGTTACAGATAGTTGTTGATATTTCAATTGGTTGTGAAATTATTTAAGTTTAAACAGTGCATACCAAGAATGCCTCACCAGTGTGACGTTCGTCCTTAATAGGTTAAAGATTGACCCTTGTTATTTTAACAGAAATAATCTGCATTTTTTGTGGTTTACATGAATACTTTGATTGATCAAAACCCACAGAAAACACATCTAGAGCTTCGAACCATCCACAATGTAAAAGCGTGATAGGTTGGAAGGAAAATTTACATTGCAGCAGTATCAACATTGCAAAGACCACATTTAAGAAATGATATCCTAGTTTGTACCTGTCAACATACATATAAACAGTCTAGTGAAAACAGCACAGGTTTGTTGTTTCACTTGCTTTATTTGCTAAGACATTCCCAGCATGTTTTTCCAATAAAGTCATTCAGTTTAGGTTGCTGGACAGTGTTAGAAAGGCCAAAGAATTTTTTGGTAGTTTATATAATATGGCTGTTTGTTTTTTCCATGTGTATCAATGTGCATTCTTTCTTTGTCTGGCTTTCCTTGCCACAGGATGATGACCTCAACAAGAAGTACAACGTCGCTGGAGTGACAGGAGACAGTTCAGGGACAGACAGTGGGGTATGGCTCGGGTCAGGGACAGAAACCTCTTCACCAGGCACAATGGACACACCCCTGCCTGTTAAAGAGGAGGAGGGGCCCAAGGAAAAGCCCCCCTTCTCTCGCCCTTTCTCTCCATCGTTCGCTCATTTCTCCCCCACTTCCCCAGCAGGACTGGTGCTAGACAGATTTCTTCGCGGCACACGTCCCACTGAACTGACCTACAACAGCGCAGTTTCACCTCCAGAGTCATATGAACTTAGGTAACTCTGGCCCTTGAATTGGTGCCCATGTGTGTCAGTTAAATGATGATTCAAAAAAGCAAGATAAAGAATGAGTCACAAAATGAATCATATAAACGAAAATAGCACTTTTTTTTGGTAAAATTGGAAGAAGTGGTATTACTGAGTCAGGAGAATAAAAAAACGGCTAAAATATGGTCTGCGCTGCAGTGAGTCATGCTGTGGAGCCTAATTTAAAAGTCAGAGGCATCAGGTCAGATTTCACTGGAGTTTTTGGACCATGTCATTAGGCTTTGTGTATTAATGTGATGGACAGACTTAAAAAGAAGGTCAGATTCAGTGTTTAGGTCTTAAATCCAAAGTCAACATTATATTGATGAACATATGATGATATATCCTCAGATGATATGTCCTTCTCTAAGTTTTGACTGAGAGCACTTTGAATACTCTTTCAATGCTCACACTGAATGCGCACAGTGAATGTTACAAAATATTTTCCACGCGTTATGTTCAATTACACATTTCCACCATAGAGGGCTCCAGATCCCCAAAACTTACATAGTGCAGCTTTAAAGCAATAGTTCTGAAATAAATCATCAGTTTTTCGCTATTTCACCTTCACCTCCAGTGTGCACATTTGGTGTCCCAAGTTTTTCATCTTTAGTTTTGTGCTGGAGCTATGAGGCCAGTGTAGCTGACAATTAACGGAAGCTTAAATCCCACCAATTAGCATTGTGCAAGCTGTGTCCCTATACTGTTACACACTTGCCTCAGACTGCGTTGAGTGGTAAAGTAATCTCAAAAAGACTTGGTTATGAGAGCAGAGTTTTTCTGCCAGTTCTTTTGTTTCTTTGTTTTTGTTGATATTATTAAAGTAAATTCATGGACTTACCTTCATACTTAGTTCAGAAATGTTACTTAGGTAATGTTTCTTATAGATGGATATTTCTTATTATCATATATTTTCTGCTTTTACAAGCCCGAGTCTTGTGGCCTTGGAAATGGACAGTGAAGAGGAAGATGATGATTTCCTTATGAAGAAGCCCCTTCCCCAGATATCCTCTGACCATAAGACCAATGGAGAGGAGCGGGACAGCTTTAATCCTGCCCCTGACCTCACATGCATCCGCTCTCACTCCGCTTCCTCAGCCTGTAACCCTGCATCTTCAAAGGTATCAACGCGCCCTCTCCTAATTTATGAAAAACGTGGAAATATTGAGTCACAGCACTAATTAGAGATTTCCTGATGTGAAAGATTGATATTTGGAGCTAATCACACCCTGTTTTAATGATTATTATGGCGAAGTTGCATACTTAAAATGGTTATTTCACAGAAAAAGTCCCCAAAAAATCCCAGATATACCAGTTTAGCATGTTTCACATTATGGAAGAACTATTTTTTTTTTTGTAGGAAACCAATATCATCTTTTGACAAAAAATGTCTCTTCAAATTGTGTTTATTTTTAGTCATGCAATGATTGATTTTCAGTCTTTAAGATTTAGTCAGCAAAGATAATTGAAAAAATGTGAAAATTGTAACTGTAACAGAACAATTTCAACCCAACAGTTTCAAATTTTCGAGGACCCGCCAATGATGTCCGTTAACAAACTAATTGTAGAAAGCTTGCTAGGCAGTTTTAGTTAGCCTAACAGTGCTTTATCAGTTACACTAAGGCAGCAGCTACTCCTACATAGTATGATCTGTCTAACACTTTTTTTGGACAAGTTAGCATTTGAGTCAGCCGGCTAACAGACTAACAGGTTCAGGTTTGCAATTCTGTGTTTTGCTGAAGGCATCATTGTAAAATTGCAACATACAGAATGTTAATTGAATGGCTATTACGAGCTTAAAATGTCTTTTAAATTGTATATGGCATACGTAGCACTTAACCCAGTGTGGCAGTGTGATCATACAACCCTAGAATGATGATAACATAACATTACAAACTGCATAAGGGCTCTAATACTAAATTAACATCATCAGCATATCATTCCTTCAATGAGCTTTCTGGCAGGTGCTGCTCTTGACACCGTGTATGTCCATAATTAGATCCTTCGAATAAAGCAGAAATGAGAAAAATCCTATAATAGTTATATAGTGGTGTTTTGTTTAGTCATATTTTCATCATCAAAATGGTTTAAAAAATACTTTTTTAATATAAACAAGCCTGTATTTTTCTTCTTCTCATTATCATTGATGAGATTAACACTGACGGGTCATTTTAAAATCTATTGGAACTCAGTGTCAGCAGCTACTCAATATTAAAGGACTCTGAATGGGTTCAGGTGCTAAAAACTTTAATCAAGACATCTTGTCCCTAATTCTTCATACTATAATTAATTCTGAATAGTAATGGAAAAACTTTCAACTGCTCACTCAGATCTTTGCAGATGTTTTTTATTTTTTTTTGTCTTTTGTGTTTTGAGGCAGTAACAATTCCTTTTGTTTTGTTTTTTTTCAGGAGTCTGTTGATCAAGGAGGTCGTCTTCGTTCATATTCTTACTCATCCCCCAAAATCAGCCTGCTGCCCCCTCGCTTTAGCCGTGATGCCCAGCCCCCATCTGCTGACCTCAGCCAAGGTTAGAGTTCACTTTCTCTTTTAAATCTGTGTGCTTTCAACTGGAAACAAAAATGACACTACAGCCCACTAGACACCTTTCCTTGTCTTCTTTTTGCAATCACATTTTCTCAACAAAATGTAAGCAATTATCAGTTAATGCTCAATTTAAGTGTGTGTGTGTGTGTGTGTGTGTGTGTGTATATATATATATAAATATTAGTATATAAATAGTATATATATATATATATATATATATATATATATTATATATATATATATATATATATATATATTATTTACATTATTTTTCATTATTACAATGAAATACACAAAATCAGCCCAGATTTGGAAGCACATTTGACCCATCTGGAGTAGTTATTACAAGCCATTGTGCATCTGTCTTCCTGTAGCTCTGTAAATGAAAACACAATCTAGGGGAAATGGAAGATAGCATCAGTTACATTTCCTGTCTAGTCTGTCCCAGGACAAGATGATAGCAAGAGTCTTTCAAAGATTAGTAAAAGCGTACATTTCCACGTCAGTCTAAATATTGCCACTATACCTGCTGTGCATGTCTAAGAAAACATCCGCACTTTCATTGATCCTTTGTTCCTTGCTGGTGATAAGAAATATAGTTATTATTCTTTGATGTTGCTGTATGCTGTTAGGTATTTTTCACTTAACTTTAGGTGAATTTTGAGCCACATTTTTTAAATTTTTATTTTAGGGCTGTCGCAATTAATAAATTTAAAAAAAAAGGATTGATTTGAAATTTTCATTTTTGATGAATCTGCAGTAGTTAGTTGGCAGTTTGCGTGGCAATCATGCATATTTAAAATTCTTTGTCTGCTCTTTTTTACAGTAAGAAGCAGAGTAAGATTGGCAGTCCTGGTTATGTGAATTGTTTGCAACATTTTCTGGTTTCCTAGTTTATCTTTTTTCCAAATAAAGTATTTTAGACTCTTGGAAACACTCTATCAGTGGTCACCAACCCTCATCCTGGAGATCTACTTTCCGGTAGTTCCTGTAGTTTAGTTCTAACCTACAGCTAGCATGCTGCACCCCTTTACCTAACACTAATGCATCTGATCCAGCCAATCAAGATTATTGAAGAGTTTATTAGTTGGAGCAGGTGGGGCGGATTGGGCTTGGAACCAGACTCTACAGGAAGGCCAATCTTCAGGGCCAGGTTTGGTCACCACTGCTCTATATGGTTTGATAATGGGTGCGTTACTTGTTTACTAATATTATAATTTACTATTGTGAATATTCGGCAATTTTTGACCTATAAATCCATACAGTGGACTGATTTGATGAATAGAAAAAATAGGATGTACTGTAAGTTCCCTGGACAAAAAAAAATAGTTGCATACATCACTACTTTTCTAATACTTGATTAAGCATATAATTGCCTTAATGACAGCACCAGTTCTGTCAGGTGAGTCAAGGCAAGGCAAGTTTATTTGTGTAGCATTTTTCTTACACAGCGGCAATTCAAAGTGCTTCACACAAAAGCAGAGAAATAAAAGCATTAAATATTATTAAATAATAAAGCTGTGTAGTGCAGTGACTTGAAGATTGGAGTAATGTGCTTAGATCTCTTAATTCTCATAAGCATTCTAACAGTGTTTTGAATAAGCCGTAGCAGTCTGATAGTGGTCTTGGGAAGGCTAGTGAAAAGACCATTGCAGTAGACCAGCCTGCGGGAAGGCAAGAATTAGTTTTTCTAGGTCTTGTTGTGACATAAAATTTTTAAACTTTGATATGGTCTTGAGATAATACAAGGCTGCTTTTGTTATTGCTTTAATAAGGCTGTTGAAATACAGATCTGAATCAGTTGGTATGCCAAGATTTCTGAATCTTTAGCCCTCAGAGCACTGATGTCAGGATGAGCACTAACCTCAAGTATTTGCTCTTTACTACCAAATACAGTTACCCCTGTCTTTTCTTTATTTAGTTAAAGAAAACTTTCTTTCATCAAGTTATTCATTGACTCTAGGCACTGACATAAAATGTCAGTGGGACTAGACATAAGGCGAGAGAAATAAGTACAACTAGGTGTCGTCAGCATAGATTTGGCAAGATATTTTATTATTTTATAAGGATTTGGCCCAGTATTAGCATATCAAGATGGAACAGTAAGGGCCTGAGAAAGGATCCTTGTGGAACACCACACGTCAGCATTTCCCATTTAGATTTGTGGTTGTTGATAATAATGGCAATAAAGTAGCTCCTCCCTTCCAAATATGATTGCTTGATTCTAGTTGTATGATCAACACAATCAAATGCAGTGCTAAGATGAAGAAGCACTAACATAAATATTTTGCCAGCATATGTTTTCATTTGAATGTCTTTCAGGATAAGGGCCGTCTCTGTACTGTGATGTGAACGGAAATCTGAATAGACGTTGTCATAACAATAGTTATTTAAGAATTTGCTGAGCTGAGTGAAAGCAACTTTCTCAATAATTTTACCTATGAATGGAAGATTAGAAACAGGTCTATATTACACCAGCCTGTCTGTTTTAGTCCACTCTTTGACTTTGTGCTTTATGTCTGAGCAGAACACAACATTGACACTCCCGTATTCCGGGATGAGAACTGTAGGTTGTCATTATGTGAGTTGTTTAACAGTGATGATGGAACACTGGGACAGTGAGTGCGTTTACATGCACTTAATAATTCGGTAACTGCAGAAGATCAGATTTTTTCAGTAATCCGATCAACACGTTTATATGCACATAATGGGAAAACTCTGGGTCTGCATGAGTCAGACTGTAATCAGATTTCTGCTTTGCAACTGGCCAGTAAACTCACAGAAGAAGACGTGACGTAAACATAATGTAAAACTCAAACTTCATGCCGTGGCTTTTAAAAAAAAAAACAACCACTTTACCTGAAAATATGAACATACGTCATCTAGAAGATGAAGAATATTTAAATCCTTCATTTTATCAAGAATGTAGTTGGTTTCAGTGTTGCTCCAAAAGTGTTTTACTGCCATCTCGCGGCAACGCCACTTGCTTATATCTGGTAAAGCAGTCTGTTCATGCCCAGACTGAGAAATCCGAAAGAAATCAGAGTAAGAGTTTACATGTGCTGAGAAATCTGATTTACTGAGCTAAAATCCAGCTCTCTTTATCGGATTTCTTTATCGGATTTCTAGATCAGAGTATGGTGTTTACAAGACCATTGGAATAATCAGATTTCTGCAGTTATCCGATTATCATCAGATTATTGAGTGCATGTTAACGGACTCAGTGTATGGTGCTGAAAGAGGCATACACAAACTCTGGCTGAAATGTGCAGCCAGTTTGTGGGGGAGTGGACTAAGATGGACAGGAATAGACACTGAATATCAAGAGACGGTTGTAACCTTTACCTGACAGAATTGACAGGACTGGTGCGGTTCTTAAGGCAAGGGGACACGTAACCAAGTATTTATTAAAAAAAATAAATAAATAAAATTAAAAAGCTGGTCTTGCTGAGGAACAGTAATAAACTGGGTGTATTTGTGAGATTACTTGTAGTCACTTTGTTAATCATCTCTGAAAGCTATGACATCTTTTAAGGTCACTAAAAGCTGTGACAAAAATATTATATTGCGATAAAAGAACAGACACAATGCACTGGTAGTGCCACATTTTTAAGAAATATTACTCAATTGGTCAGCGTGTTGAATGTACTGAAAATTGCATTTGCTCAGAAAAATGGATCACATAATTTGTCGTGATGATAATGTCCTCATCATACCACCTACCTTTACTCTGGATGTTTAGAGTAGTGCTGGGCTGTACTGTAGTGTAATATCCACTGTGTCCTGTAGATGGAGCCCTCTCCGGCAGCAGTGGCAGCAGATCTCTCCTACAGGCTCTGTCTCTGTCTAAATCTCTGTCTCTGCTCAATCCTGTTAGTAAGTACTGCCAAACCACGCCCGTGAGCCAGCTCTGCTGCACGCAGCCAATAACACGCATGATGCTTCTGGGGGTGCTTACTCTGAGCAGGGGTGTTTGTGTGTGTTGTGTGGTACATGTGGTTGTGGGGTGTTTTATGGTAGCTTTTGGGGGTGTAAAAAGGAATAGATGTAAGAGTTAATGAGTTATTTGTGCAACATTGCGGCTAATTTGGGTGTTTGAGTGATGTGTTGATTCTAATGATCAGATGTGTGCGTGAGTCTCTGTATTTGTCTGAATGGGTGCTGACCCCTCGTGACTTGCTGAGCTTGCACTTATGCTAGTGATGGCACCAACTTCTGCTACTGATGTACCTCTGCTGTCATTATGTTATAATTCTCATGTTCTGTTTCACTACAGTGTTTCATGTTTCGTGCTTATGTAAAAGGGCCTGACCGATATGAAAAGTTTGTCACTGATACCAACTTTAAAGAGCTAAAAATTATACACGACACTTTACTGGAACACTGCTATATAACCTTGACATACCCATGCCATAAACATGTCGTGGCAGATATCACATGCTGTCATGACAGATTATGTCCAGCAGTATAACAGTGTTGTTGAGTTTACTGTTCATTGTCATGCCATATGCCACAGTGTTTGATGTTATGACAGCCAACAGCTCAGCAAAAGTGTGACAGGCTGTCATGACTTTATGGCATCTGTCTTTGCAATTACTGGTAGTGGTAACATGACATTGTGTTAATGACACAACAAAAACTGCCATGACAAAATCTGCCATGACCATTTCAGACAGTATGTGACATGGTTATGTCAGTGTTATGTAGCAGGGTTTAAGTGAAGTGTTACCAAATTCCAATAACCAATATATTTCCTACATGGTCTAATTAAGCAGGTCTAATATAAACTATATAGATTTTGATGCGACTTGATAACTGTTATTGTTATTATGCATTTTGCTGTTTGTGTAAAATAAATACTTTACTGAAAGGCAGCTACATGATACCCATATAAGCCTTACAGCTGACATAAACCTACATAGACATTTTTTGTTGTTTGTTGAAATTAGCCTTTATAAATGTCTGTATAGTTTTACAATAGGCCTATTTCAGTTCTCATGATAGTTCTGGTGCCTTGTGAATGCTGCCCTGCAGAGTGGTACTAAAGTGTTACCAAAAGTTGTGAACTTAGCCTACTTGCGTTAATACAGCTGCTGTCTTGATGGTGTGATGGTCAGGCAGGGTCCTTTATGGTCAGGCAAGGCACCTGGCTTTACTGGTTTCACTATCCTGAATGTGGTTTTGTCACATAATATTATCAGTCATTTCATAATTATGACCCTGCATAAAACATTATCAGTGCTTTATCAATGGGATTTTCACCAGTGCTGATAAATCCATTGAATCTTAAGTGCGGCCAAACGATATATCGGTCAAGCCCAGAGTGTAATTTGCTTTCCAGCGTTTTCCTTGAGTAACTTTTATTTAAGCCAAAGAAAAACACTTTAAAGGACCTATATCCTACAATTCTCTTTCCACTTATGTATTTTCTGCGGTTTTATATGATAAAAATATCATTCATTTTTGCAGAATTATTTTCCAGCCTTTCTTCATGTCTTAGAATTAACCAGTCTCTTTTTCTTACTTTGCCTTTAAAACTAATATATGTAAATAATCTCTGTTTTAATTGGCTGCCCTGTATCATGCCTCTTTCAAAAAGCAGTCCAGAGTGAAACATTCCTCATAACTTCAGCATGAATGGACAGGGCCTAACTGCTGTAAGCTGAATAGGCAGATAAATGTAAATACACTAGTTTTCGAGAGTTCGGAAAACTAATGAATCCAAAACGGACTGTTTTTGAAGTTTAATAGTTGGACTGAAAGAAATGACATGGGCCCTTTAAAGGTTGTTTTAAGTTTAAGCGCTATGACAAAATCTACATGGTTGTGGAATACGCGTTGACTGCAAGTTATGTTGCCAAAGGACTTCTACAAATGTGTAGAAGGAAGTTGCTGGTCGCTCAGATGACCCTAAATCTGGAAACATTTTTTTTAGATTGTTTTCTTAATTCTGAAAAGGTTTAGCTGCTTCAACAGGTGACTTTTTGAGGATGAAGCCCTAGTACTTTGATTTATTTTTTGTTTTGTATTAATACATCCTTTCTTTTTTTCAACAGAACAGCGGGCATTCAGCTTAACAGAACAGCCACAAGAAAAGAGGTAATGCTCTAGACCCAGTGTGTCTTGTCTTCTCACTTTCTGTTTGTGGTATCGAGCGGGATTATAGGATTCTCAGATGTCAGAGTGACGACACTGTTGCCTGGAGACAGAGTGCTTCCTGTTGTAGTTTCGAAGGTCATGGCTTTTTCCTTTTTTTTGAAAACGGCCTTGACCTTTTCAAATGGGATAGGAGCAGTGAGCAAGTGTGAGTGCATGTGTTGATGGAAGCCACAAGACCTGGTGTTTTGTTTTTAGTTGCCAGTTTATTAGGTTTATTGTGCACACAAAGTTGCATACACATGCATTCAAACATTCAAAACTCAAAACATTTTATGTGATCATTCAGCTTCTCTTAGGATATGTGCTTTATTTCCATATCATTTCAAAATCACAGCTTTCAAGCTGGACTTTGTCAGTACTTGGTAGCATTGCTTTTGAATTACTTAAACTGATTCAAACATTTGGAGTAGCTTTCCACAAGCTTCTAACAACACTTCACTGAATTTCTGAACTTCAAAGGAATTTTTCCTCATTCCTGTTGACAGAACTGGTGTAACTCAGTCAGGTTTTTGAGCCCCCTTACTCTGACATATTTTTCAGTTCAGTACACAAATTCTCTATAGGATTCCGGACAGGGCTTTGTGATGGCCTCTCCAGCACTTTTATTTTCTCATGTTTAAGCCAGAGGTAGCGAACTGCGGTCCCAGAGGACTGGCACAGATTAGTGATTTTCCTGCTCAAACACCTGGTATAACTTATCAGCTAATTACCAGGTTAGGTTGGTGTGTCAAGACCAGGAAATTCACCAAACTGTGCAGGACAGCAGCCCTCCAGGACCACAGTTCGCCACCCCTGCTTTAAGCTATTTTGTCACAGCTTTGGAATAATGCTTAGGATGCTTACATTGTCCTGCTGGAAAACCTAGTTGTTACCTTGGTATTGCTGTAGTATTTCTAGATCAGGGGTTCTTAACCTTTTTCACATTGCAGTCCTTCTTTGGAGTTAAAAGTATGTTGCCCCCCCCACCCCGCCCTTTTTATATTAGCATGCAATTGTTTGATGCTCGTTTTACAGTACAGTTTGGACATTGCTCCTAAGAAGGTCTTGGCTGAGATACTTGAATTTTGCAAGGTTTCAAGGGCAAAAAGTTCTGGAAGTAATGGTAGGCCCTTAATTACAGCCATATGTGCATATGTGCCTAATTGTTCCTAATTGACCAATCAGATACTTCTAACCATCATTACGTCAATTTCTGGAATCTTTCAGACTATTTAAAGAGACAGTCAACTTGGTGGTGTGTGTAAACACTTGATCCACTGGAAATTTAATATAGTGAACTAAAGCTGGAAAAAAATCTGTTTCTGATTAATTGTTTTAAAATGAAAGTAAACAAAGTATATACCCTAATTGACTTGCCAAAAAGAAATGCATAGCAACATGAAATTGAGAAAAATTTAGTTTGAAAGTCTCTAACCTATGTATATGCAAAGTTTGGTCTCAACTATACACCTTCATTGTACAGTTTATCGTCCACCCAGTGGAAACGGATCACCATAGGACCACCACTGACCAGATTTACATTTACATTTACATTTACGGCATTTGGCAGATGCTCTTACCCAGAGTGACTTACAGTTTGATCATTTTATACAGGTAGGTGAAGGTAGTATTAGGAGTCTCTTATTGGTATAGTGTAGGGTGCTTACCCAGGCAGGGATTGAACCCCAGTATGTATCAGGCTCAGCTGTGTTGCTAGGGTTGTGTTTTTTTAGTTTTTTTTTAAAACATAGAGTACTTTGTCACTGCTGGATATAGAATAGTACCCAACCCAAAATATCCAGCCAGCAGTGGTCCTGTGCATGGAAAACGATGTGAGGTAAACCAGTATACCAGTTGAAATGCTTCCTCAGGTAAGTGTTTTATCAAAGCCGTTATACCGTTATGCCACAAAAAGCACAGGTAACAGGACATACCAGCAGTTCAAACCATGCTAACGTTACTCCGTGTACCACAGTGGCTGAGGCAGGGATGTGTTAATGAAAACAAAAACACAGCAGACTTGGTCACCTCACGTTGTCTATTCCATTTTATCTGAAATAGCTGAAGTGGTTCACTTTGTTTTCAAGGCAGCGGGCGTCTTTTGGGGTCGGCCCTAGACTAACATGAACACCAGACCGATTGCCATAGTTTCTGTCGTAAAACCTGAGAAGGCGCCTAATTTAGTTATCTAAGCTGTAGACCAGCTGGTACTGAAGTGTGCATGACTGTAATATTTTCCAATTTCCAGCAGGTGTGACGTTCAGAGGCGCAAGTGTATGGTACACACATACGAGACGAATGACTTGTGAAATTTAACAAAGCTGAAGTTGTTTTCTTATTCAGATTTCCCACTCCACCTCAAATGGAGCAGCAGTTACATTTATAGTTGGTAGAATGTAACTGCTGTTTTAATTAAAGTGGAACAGAAAATTCAGACAAAAAGCTGTTGAAAAAGAAGCCAACTTCAGCCTTCAGCCTTGAAACAACATTTAGCTCTGTTTTTGCCAGGCCCATGGGGCTGCTGTTAGAAAAACAGTATAGACATAGGTTTGTCTATATTTTATTCTTTTTTTGGGGGGGGGGCACAATAAGCATTTCAGATATACTTTAGTATGCCAAGTTTAATATCTCAGCTCAATGTCAAATGGGCCTTGGGCACAATATTAAAAACATGCATCACTAAATGTTTACTGAACTGAACTCAGGAAAAAGATTAAAATGTTAATGAAAACTTAATCAACATGTCTGGTTTCTGATTTCCATATATATTTTTATCAATAAAAAGCTCTCTAAATGTTTAATAAATCAAATAAATAGCTAAATATTTTAAACAGGAGCCCATCCACCGTGTGCAGAAGGAAAGATTAACAGCTATGTTGAAGATATACTATGAAGTTAAACGTTCACCACAACATGTTCAAAACGAGCAAAGAGTGAGTTATACCTTACGTTGCTTGAAAAAAAACATAAGTGACTGAATACAATTGTTCTGTGTGTGATAGTTAGGCTAATGGAAGCATCTCCAAATCATATTGCAAAGCACAGTTTGATTTACTAGACCCTTTATTGCTCGACTAAAATCAAGATTCCTAAATGTACAGTTCCAAGAAAGAAACTTTAATTGGCATAGAACCAATATATGTGGAGGTTCTTTAAACTTTTTAAACATTCTTTTTAAACGTTTTTCTTAAAAAGCATAAGTAGTTCTTCTGTGGCATCACTTTGAAGAACGCTTTTTGTCATGTCTATAAAAATACATTGTATTTTGTTGAATTGTCTTTTTCTGTTGAAAAAGAATTAAACCCTCTGTGCATTGTATCTCGTCACTGGCCCATATTATTAACATTCTCAAAGTATGAATACTGATCTGGGCAGTTTATGCCTTTTACAATGCGCTGACTTGAGATGACGATGAGACCTGACTTTAGATCAGTATTTTTACTCGGAAATGCTTGAGTATAGTCAGTGGTGGTCTTAAGGAAGTCTTTTCATGTATGGTTGGGGTAGAGGGGGGCTGATAAATTAGCTTAACAGTGTAGGTACAAGTATATATCTAATAAACTGGCATCTCAGTGTAAAACATCATTTAGAGTGGACTATCTCTGGGGGCTTCCATTCTAAGTGCAACTTAGCCTGTGTGCTCAATTGTCTTTCTGTGGCTCTCCCTCCCTGTTCACTCTCTCTTCCTTGCACAATAGCTCCATCTGGTGGAAGGTTTGAATTGTGTTAGTGTGTTTGTTCTGTGTAAGAGAGAAAGCCCTCTCAGCTCTGTATTTTAAACCTCTGTAGGGAGTTAAAGTTCCGTAGACGTGCTCAGTCAGCTGACGATGAGTCCAGCGTCGAGCTGGACGACTCCCTCCAGCACCTCACGCTCTCCGAATTCCTCAAAGAGTACGTCATATCGTTCTTAGCTTCAGTCCGTCACCAGCTTGACCCGCTTACGCTTCTAACCTTTGTTGTTTGAACCGCAACGTCTGACTACAATACCCAGAATGCACCCTCTGGCATGAAGTCATATATCTTATATATCTGACCTTTAATTGTCTTAACCGTACTAAATTGTCTTAATACATGTGTGTAACTCTGTTTACAAGCAGTATGAACTAACTACACTACTGTTCAAAAGTTTGGAATCACTAGCCATGTTGATAATTTTTCTTTATTTATTTACAGTAACAGAGATGATGTACATTTAATTAGCAAGGCATCACTATAACATCACTATAGCATCACTACCTTTGAAATCTGAGGAATTTTGGATGTTCATTTTATTATAATGTTCTCAGTTTTTACAGATTATTTTAGAATCCTTAGCTCTATCATAATTTTTTTTTATTCTGCTCATTATTTGAAAGCAGTCATAAGCAAAGGTTTGTGCACCCCTGGTCAAATGACATACTTTGTTGGTTTTCTAAGTGAAGGTCAGTTAACACATCCTGTACAGAGAACACACTTCTGCACAGCTTAATGCACAGTTACCGTTTATTTACAAATTTAACATATTGAAAATAACTAAATGAGATATGGCCTGTGCAGAAGTAATATATTTATAACTCAGCAGATAAATAGAAACCATGCACTAAACTTTGCAGAAAAAAAATTCTATTTAAGTGTGTTCTTTGTAGAGGATGTGTTAACTTATTCTCACTTAGAAAATCTGCAAAACATGTTATTTGACGAGGCATGTTTCAAAGTTTGCATGCAATTATGCATCACAATATTTAAGATGGAATAAGATGGAACAGACAGAATGCACCAACAGTGCCAAAATGCTATTAAAACTCTTAAGTACGATGATTTTTATTCAAAGTTTCACATTTTGCACTGAATCCAATTAAACAAAACTAATTATGCTTCTTTTTAGTGAAACATGCAGTTGGTCAGAGTTTTTAAAGACTGCTGATTTCCATACTCAGAAAAGCATATTGTGACTAAATGTATCATGGTACGATAACATATTGTCAAATTGACCACCACTAAATATTGTTACCAGTAATTTATATACGTACCTACAAAAAAAAGTTTTAAGAACATACAAAACATTGATTCCAAACTTTTGAACAATAGTATAAATTACTTTTGACTTGAACTATTATGAAACATCCTTTGTAGTGAATGCTGAGAATGTTCCCACAGCCAAAGCGGAATGCTTTTGTTATTACACTGAAAGAGCAATGACTAATTTTTAATTGAACGCATAGCCAGGAAATGAATGCATGATTTACCCCGGGATGCTTTCGCTGACGAAACCGAACTAACCTGTGCATTACAAACTGCTGAGGAATGTGTTCTTTAAACCACAACAACATGAGTGTTTTTGTGATTAAGATGAGCAGATGAGGAAGTGGAAAAGTGAAGGAGAATGTATGGGTTAGGGAGCTAACCTTGAGTTCTTAAAGGTACCAGCTTAACAGTGAGCTGGATCAGGTAAGTTGGGAGGAGAGAACTCAAAGGTAGGGCTGTCACCATCAAATAGATTATCAAACAATCTAGCAAATATTTTAAAAATGAATTGAATAAATGACAGAGTTTTTATAAATGGCCAAACAATACTTGACAAATTATCATTTCAGGGATTCCAAAATATTTCAATATTTTTAAAAGACTGTAGAACAATCATGGCATGGATCATTCTACCAAATTGGTTTAACGTCAGAGTTAAAAATACATTTCAGACTTTCTAACTGACTCTGACTTTAAGACTAAAATCCTTTTGCTTTGAATGACTCTATACCTTAATTATGTTTATTTATTAATACAAATGATTGAACATTCTATTTTGTCACCACTAAAACAATCATATCTACTGAAATTTTACCAAATGTGTCAGTAGTGACTAATTTTAGATAATTATTTTAATAAACTTGAGTAGAACTGAAAAACGCCGGCCAGTACATGACTAGCAAATTTGAACAGTTATACACACATAAAATCATAATATTTTCATTAAAACACACAAAGCATACTTTTGCAGAAAATATGTGTTTTGGTAGTCAAAATTGTTAATGTTACGCACAGATTTTTAGCCTTTTGGGACACAATGCCTTCTAAACAATGGGATCTAGCTGCTGACCATGTGGCCATGAGGGACAGGAATGCAGTCTCGCTTCCTGCTGTACAGTGCAGGGATGCAGCTAAAATAAGGCTCCGCCTATGGACTAAAACTCTTCGTGTTTCGGTAGTGACATGAAAACATGGGACAACATTTATTGAATAAAGTTTTCCCCCCAGAATAAATCTAAATCTTTGAACTTCACTTTAAAAGAAACAAAAAAAAACTTTGGAAGTTGAAATTTAGAGGTTAGGGCCTGGGACAGACATCTCCCATATTTCTATTATATATATATATATTATATATATATATATATATATATATATATATATATATAATGGTGTCTCTTGATTTGCTGTAGGCCAGGAGTTGCAGTTTTGGGGGCCCACTTTCCTGCACATAACATCACTTTTCTTTTTCAAGTTGGCCTTAAGTTGAGTCTGTTAACTTGCTAACCAATAAACCCAACTTAACAGTATAACCCCAGGTATATAAAGACCGCTTGTTCTTGTTAACTCATGTGTTTGAATAATGAAATTGTGATTTCAGAATCGAAGAGGAAGAATGGGATCGGTACATTATCCCTTCTAAGACAGAGTCTGAGAAATATAAAGTCAGCCGCACCTTCAGTTTCATCAAGAGCCGAATGTATAGCACACGCAAGAATAAGGTAATCACACATCACCCACATCTGTTTTACAGCTGGCTGAACAATTTCAGCCCAGTCTTCCCTCACCTTACCTTTCCAAACCTGTCGTTTCGGAACCAAAAAAGGCAATGACTGATCGTAGGCCAAGCAGCTATCCCAAAAACAAACATGTAGTCCCAAGTCCTAGCTGTTGCAGCCTCTTCTGATTTAATCATTAATCCCTGTGCACGCCTAACCAGTTCCTGAACCCAAAACTGCCAAAATTTGCCGTCACAACAGCTTTGGTTTCTCTGCCGCATGGCAGAGCGAAAGGAACAGATGGAAGTGGTGGACAGTTATGGCCGTTGCTGTATGTGCCACTAATGCTGTCATGGCTCTTTCTTGGTTTTCAAAGGGGAAAGCAAAGGAGAGGGAAGCCAAAGAAAAGCAGGGGAATGGCCACCAGTTTACAGCAGGACCTGGCCAGGGGTCTTCAGTGTGTGAGGTGTGCGACAAGCCTGCTGCTGGGAAAGAAACCCTACACTGCACTAGTAAGTGAGATTTCTGTGTATGTGTCCTTACAATCAGCCGCATTAGACACACTGTATGATGTAGGTTTCTTTATTAGTTTAAGCATAAAATATTAAGCTGCCTATAGCGAATAGAAAGTCGGCAGTTTCGCTGGACATTGACTTTTAGCTTTCATTGTTGATATTTGTTAATCAGGGTCCAAGCAGTGAAGCTGCTGCAATCCTCTTGTGTTTGTGCTGATTATTGTTCCTATTTTCCGCTTTGTCTGGGTGTCAGAAACCATAAGGTGCACATACACCAAACTTGGTAGATAGGTTCCAGATCCCACTATGGCCCCCTCTATTGCAAAGGCTTTACTCTAGATTTTGGAACATTGCTGTGAGGATTTGATTGCATCCAACCATTAATAGCATCAGAGTTCACAATTCCACTGTTCCGTATACCAGTGCTGGAGTGCTTTATAACCATCTAGCTGACGCTTGGCACTGGGCATAGTGACCTTGAGCTCATGTGCGTCCCATTCTATTGGCAGTACTTTTCTGTGGAGATTATACGTGCTGTGTGAGTGCAAAAACACTTGTGTCAGCAATGGGTGCACATTAAACTAGCTGAATTCATTTATTAGAAGAGTTGTCTGGATATTTTTTGGACAGATAGTGTTAGGCCTGGATGATATCTTAGCAATGAAATTTCAAAATGACTATTTTTAAGAACATTATGATTATGATTATCCATTATGCTCACCCCCGATTAAATGAAAATAACGTAGTATATTATTGAGTAACTCAACATCTTTTGCTAATTTTGTCATGTTTGTTTGGGAGCTCCTGCAAGAGCTCATGACTGTTTTTTCTCTTTAAATGATACAACTTGCAACTTACGTTCTAATAGCTCCCCCACCTGGAGACTTTAGACTGCTAAACTTTTGGATGTGGGACTTATGGTCTCATGTTTTAAAGTGTTTTCAGTTGTTACAGTGGAAATTCAGCTATAGCTTCCTTAGGGGAAACTACGAAATATCATATTTTCACAGTTTGACAACTCATCTGAGCTATCGATACACCGAAGCTGTATGGAAAATGCATAGAAAGTTCTTCAGACAGTGTGTCTGAGGACAGTTTGTCATAATCTAAGGAAATCCACAGTTTTAACAGTAAAAATGAATAAAACATTACATGTACATGTTATTTCATATTATTTAAAGTTTCCCAACATGCCAGTTATCGCCTGTAAAGCATCATGATCAGGGTACTTGGTAATCATCACTGATATCCAGTTACATTGCCCTGACGCTGAGGCCTGCACTACAAAGTGTATCTCAACAACCCTATGGGCTAGAGTCCAAACGGGCTTCATATTTCAATTCTATTTCAATTTCTTCGCAAAAGTTTATACCAATTTCAACTGAATCTTCTTAGAGACTGTCTGATTTTGGACTTATGAAATTTGGTGTGCTGTTTCTTGGATGCATGTTTCACAGGCACAAAACATGGTAGATATGTCCCATATCTCACCCACTACTTATGAAACTGCACTGGCTCCTGTGAGCTGCTTGTTTCCTTGAAATTAATCTGTGTTTTGTTTGTGTTTTCATGTATTGATATGTGGTTTGGTTTGTCCATGTGATTTTAGACTGTGCTGTGAGCATCCACAAAGGCTGTAAAGACTCCGCAGCACAGTGTCTTAAGGTACGCCGCCATGTCTATTTGTGTACTTGAGCTGAACCCAGATCTCACAGCCTAAGTTTAATGGTTAAGCTCAAAGCAGTAACACATTTGCCCATTCTTGGACATGAGTGCAGGGGGTCTGTGTGTGTTTCACTTGTACTGTAAGTAATGTCCTTACATTGTACACTATGGGAAAAGGGGGGAAAGGCTTCACACATCTCATTTGCCTTCACAGAAAGTTCATGATAAATATGCTGTTTCCATGGTGAAGACCAGAGCGGCCACCCTCCCTCAGAGTGAGTGCATCCACTGTACAACCCAAATTTTCCAAGGAAGGGGTTACATTGGGGTTGAATCATTTCTAATACAATCTTAATGAAATCTGCTTCCAAATGAACCCTGGTTCAGTTTGCTGCTTGTGGGAATACATTTTTATGATGGTCCACACCAAACAAGGGAAAGCAACCTCAAATCATGCTTTTCTCTTCTTCCAGCAGTGTTGTGCACTGTCCAGCAGTGCCGTACTGTCTGCAAAATCTGCCTGTTTTGAAATTTCTCTTGTGACAACTGCTAATATCATTCTTGCTAATAATTCCAGATAAGCAATAAAATAATACCAAAGCACTGCATTTGATTTTGACCACAGAAAATATTTTTGGTAGGCGGTTCCAGGCATCACCGACCTGATAGGTTAAATTAAAATTGAAGCCTAATTAAATCAATCATAAAGCAGAGTTTTTTTTGTTTGTTTGTTTTTTTTATGTTGTTTCAAAATGTGATGCATTTGGACGTTCTATTTTCTTGCAGTATAACAGGAAGGATAATATATTTAAATTAAAAGTATACAGCGATTGGCCACTACATTAAGTACACCTCCTACCTGTAACTATATCTACATTTTATCAGCTCCACTTACCATATAGGTGCACTTTGTGGTTCTACAATCACAGACTGCAGTTAATCTGTTTCATACTTTTCATACTACTATTAGCCCCCTTTTCCTTTTATCCTGTTCTTCAGTGGTCGGGTGCAATGGTGGTATACCTAATGAAATGGCCAGTCAAGACAGATCTGAGTTTTGTAGCGATGGATCTTACACATATACGATACAGATCTGCGAGGGCCAGTACAAGTAAACTTACTGAGCTATGACATTCATGGCCCGAGCTGAAGGCCTATCTCTAATACTCACAGTCCGCTATTACTAAATACCAATTTAACCTCTGGTCAGGAATTGTTATCTGTGAAATGGAACAGATTAGACATTTTTCCATTTGAGATTTACCCTCTGATTCACCCTATATTTATTTTTCCTCCTCCACCCTCTCTCTCTCTCTCTCTCACTCACACATAGACTACACAGTGCGTGAAACTGCCTCATCTTCACCAATGGCCACTTCAGCCTCCCTCCCAGTGATGACACTGCGGGACAGGAAAGACACGACCCCTCTGCCCTGCCCTCTCTCCAGAAGTGTTCCTTTAGTCCCGGAGAGGTTAGAAAACCTCACTCTAATCTCAGATTATAGAAATTTGGCCTCTGGGTCATTCTGCGATTACAGTGGTAGTACACATTTGAAGCCATAAAAAGGAGCTCAAAGTAAGAGCTCTGTTCCTAAATTAACAAACAAAAACCTTTGACAATTATTTTTGATTTTTTTATTTTGGTGATTTTAAGGCATGTTGTACATGAAAAACAGCAGTGACTTCACAGATGCTGAAATATTATTTTTTCTGTGAAACAACAATTTGATGCTTGTTTTTAAGTTTAAATAGTGAAAATGCACTAAATGTACTGCCTTTCCTAAGTAAAAATGGTTTTAAATATGTAGGTAAAGTTTTATTAAGATAATAAATCAGGGGATGTTACAGAATGTTTCTGTACACAAAAAACAAAAACAAGCAAAAGAAAACAGCAAAAAAGTTTTTTTTTATATATATATATATATTATATATAAATATCTCAAAGAAGAAAAGAACTTTGATTTCTAATTAATCTCTCTCTCTCTCTCTCTCTACATATATATATATATATATATATATATATATATATATATATATATATATATATATATATATATAATATAATATATACTGATCAGGCATAACATTATGACCACCTCCTTGTTTCTATACTCATTGTCTATTTCAGCTTCACTTACTATAAGTGAACTTTATAGTTCTACAATTACAGACTGTAGTCCATCTGTTTCTCTGCATACTTTGTTAGCCCCCTTTTACCCTGTTCTTCAGTGGTCAGGACCCCCATGGACCCTCACAGAGCAGGTACTATTTGGGTGGTGGATCATTCTCAGCACTGCAGTAACACTGACGTGGTGGTGGTGTGTTAGTGTGTGTTGTGCTGGTCTGAGTGGATCAGACACAGCAGTGCTGCTGGAGTTTTAAACACTGTGTTCACTCACTGTCCACTCTATTAGACACTCCTACCTTGTCAGTCCACCTTGTAGATGTGAAGTCAGAGACAGTAGCTCATCTTCTGCTGCACAGTTTGTGTTGGTCATCCTCTAGTCCTTCATCAGTGGTCACAGGACACTGTTGGCTGGATATTTCTGGTTGGTGGATTGTTCTCAGTCCAGCAGTGACACTGAGGTGTTTAAAAACTCAAGCAGCACTGTGTGTGTATATATATATATTTTTTTTATTATTTATTTTCTCTCCCCAGTTTAGATACTAGTTAGGACTCCCCCAGTCAGCCAATGCCACCAGCGCTAGGCAGGCAAAAGCTAGCATAGGCTTTCCCCCGAGACCTGTAAAGCAAGCAACCACAATTTTTCGAACTGCTGCTAACACAGCGTCACTGGATAGCTGAACGCGCTCGGAGAAAAGTGCCAACCGCCCGTTCTGTTACATCAGTTAACAAATGCCTGTGCTAACTAGCATTCCACTGACGTTTCTGATGAATTTGACAGCTTCATGTATTGCAAAAAGACTGTGTCAGTGGTATTAGTCATGGCACATGATTTTGAAAATAAACAACATAAATGCATTATTTATAGTTTTCTACATGCAATGTGACTATAAAACTAAAGTGGCAGTTCAATATATTTTAGAAATTGTGTCAATGATGCTACGGTCAGTGTTACAATTTTTTACACTTGAATCAACTTACGCACCCTGTTTGCTACCACAATGGTAGAATGACCTTTCTTTAGCGTGGGGCTATGGGGTTAATGTAGCTAACAGGTAATGCAAGCTAATGCTCTGTCAATTAGAACTATGTACTGTGCCTAAATCACCTCTGAACTGTGCCTTAATCACCACACACTTCTGACATTATCTGTGGTTTGAACAGTGCTGAGTGGTGGAGCATACACTTCCATTTCTTGTTAGTTACATTAGCCTCTTAGCTGTAATGCAAATCTAAAGAATCGAACTTTGAACACCAGACACTTTTTGCTGACTGACTACATTTATGTATGGGACATTTCTGTTCAGGCTTGCTGAGAGTCCAGAGGGAGACAACGACTCCTCGTCATGGAGGACTCCTCTCCAATCAGAAGAGCTGCTGCAGACTGTGGAATCCTCCACGTCCACTGAGTCCTCGCTTGTGGAGGGTAAAGACAGTGGCACTCTTTCTACTGACAGTGAATGTAGAACATTGATTAAGAATCTTCTCCGTTTGTCACTTCACTCTTCCCACAGACACAGTGGACGCTCCTCTACAGAACGAGTTGGAGGCGGACGCTCAGGATTTGGAGGCGGAGTCTTGGAGTCTGGCAATGGAGCCTCAGTTCTGTCAGAAGCAGGAAAAACACACTATTAAGAGACAGGACGTAATTTATGGTTAGTAGACGAGAGCAGCTTGCTGACACGACACTGAGTTGATTATTACATCAAATGAGAAAGCAGAGCAGCTAAAATGCAGCTGTTTTTGTTAAGTATCCACACAAAGTGCACATACCAAGTTAGTACATACCTCTGTAACAAGACATGTAGCTGCATCTGAGAGATAAAAATGCTGTGCTTTAAAACTTTTTTCAGATGACAGGTCAGCAAAAAATAAAAAATTAGCCCTGTCACATTCATTACCTACTCACTATTGTTTGAGCTGATCGCAGTTATTTATGTTAACTGCAGTTATTCTCAAAGTTGTTAGCTTTCAGGTTAACATACAATGTAAAGGTAACAAACAGAACATGAATTACTGTGTTTTCATCAGCTGGTATGAGGCAAATGCATGGAAAAACGCCATAGATCTTAAGAAAATAGTTCTGACTGGTGCTGTAACACCTTCAGGGGGCAGTGGTGAGTAACGTTTGTTTACCTCAAGCAACTCCTGTCCTCGTTTGGAAGCTACTGATTATCAATAGCTAGGAATGTGGCCACTTCAGGCTTGTACTTTTAATAGTTCCGTACCATGAATACAAAAATACAATTAAATTGCTCATCGTAATTATTCACTTCGCAATTAATCGTCACCTAAAATTTCATGATTTCATGAAGGACAGACCGTCCCCAAATGTAGTTAATCAGTCAATACGCGTTTGGTTAGTTTTGCACTGAAGCTACAACCTTGGTGTAATTAACAGATCATTTCTAGGAATGCATGACTATGATAATGTATGATTGATTGATATTGATCTTTAAAATTGAACAAAAGTTTAGTGCATAGTTGAAAACAGTAGTGGCAGCTTGAATTTTGTCCATACTGTTTCGTTCGGTAAAAATTCTAATTTATAAAGTATAATGAACAGCAAAAATATTTACGGTCTGGAGTTTGATTCTTTATATTTAGCATGAAGATACAGTTAATGATTTATAGAAGTTTATACTCCAGCAGCTGCTATCGCCCAAACTTCATGCCTAAATCATCTTGACCCATTCTTGTCAGTGTCATACAGTATTACACCACATAAGCAAATCTGTTTCAGATGACTTAAAGGGATACTCTAGGCAGAATAAAAAATGTAACCAATGCTACCTCTGTTATAAACATGCCTACTCACCTTCTGCAGCAGTGCTTCAATAATCTCTACAGTGAGATTTTTGAGTTTAAAAGCTGGGAAAGTCCCTTTCTGAATATGTATGTTGAAGATGTAAGGAACGTTTGATAAACTGCTTTGGGTGTTTGGGTGTGGGTGTAATTAGCCATTAAATGCCGAAAGAAGCCAGATAGCTAATGCTGCTGCAAGGAGTATCTTATTGCAGCCGTGTCACTGTACTTACTGACTTCAAACCATCATTACAATAGAACGAATGGATGTTTCTCAAACAAAAGCAATGAATCGTCAGATGAGGAGGACAAGCTGAAAACTAGTTAGCAAGGTAGCTCCCAGGCTATCTACATACCTTAGCTCAGCTTGACTTCCTTTGTGTGTAAAGTGTGACAAGTGTAAAAACCTGTCTCTGGAGTCCGGTTTATGCTGAATAAAGACAGAAATGCTGTTTTCTTTATGATTTTATTTCCAGACTGAGGTAAGAGTTACACTATTGCTAGCTTGGTTGTACCAATAGATCAGTGGCTAGGCTGGCACGGATTGATACCACGTGGATTCTCAATGTTTGCCTGACGAATTTGCATAGCGCATGTTGGGTATTGTGATGAGACAACATTGATGAATGAAAACGTGAAAACAAGTTGTAAATACTGTCAAACCATTGAGACTCAGGGATGCCGTGCTGCAGTGACATAACATTTTTTTATTTTTGTATTTTTAATTAGCTTAAATTGGAATCTGGCTCCTACAGATATTTAATCTTGTTTGTATTCATTCTCATTTAGAGCTCATGCAGACAGAGTTACACCACCTACAGACGCTGACTGTCATGGCGGAGGTGTTTAGGCGGGGCATGCGGGATGAAGTAGGGCTGGATGCGGACACCATTGGTCGGATATTTCCCTGCTTGGATGAACTTCTCCTCCTGCACAGAGACTTCCTGTCTGCTATGAGGGAACGACGGTATGGCTCTGCTCAGCCTGACAGTGACAGGAACTACCTCATCCACCGTGTGGGTGACATCCTGTTGCAACAGGTGGGCAATTTTGCACTAAAAACAACAGACAGTTCTCAACGCCATCCTAGGGCTTCATGTTAATGTTTAATGACTATTGAGATATCAGCCTTTTATTGATATCATAGACGTGTGAGTTGTTTTTTACGTATGTTCTGTTTAGATGAATAATGCCGCTCACAGGAAACAACTAACAATAAATCACTGTAGACCAGTCTTCAACTGCGTCAGATTCAGGGTTCATTAATGTGTTTTAATATACTGTTAAGCAAATTGAAACAGGTAGCAATTACTGCGTGGTATTTTGTCCATATTTTTCTGCCCTAACTAAATGTGTTGAACTATTACTGCCTATATTCCCTCTTTAAGTGCATCCTTTCAAATATTAGAGTAATAAAGAGCTCCAGGGTTTATTTGAATACATTTTTGTTTCTAAAATATTGCAATATTTAATGCACAAATGTAAAATGTCGCAGATGAGTCATTCCATGAGCTTGGTGTCAAGTGAACATGCAAATATTTTTTTTCCAGTGAGATTGTGATGGAGGGGAATGTGAAGGGGGGGAATGTTTCATGCAAAGCTAGCTAACACGCTGCCTGTTATAACGCTTCGACTTTTAGGACCATTTACAGTGAATTGTTTTTCTTTCTTTATTCATTTATTTTTTCAGTTAATGACTTTTATGCATGTTGCAAAAGAATCATTCACAAAACTGTTTACTGCCTGTTTTTGTAACTCGGGAAAACATGGAGAAAACAACAATTTATCAATGTTAAGTAAAACTTTGCAGCTTTTGATCTCAGCTCCTCTGAAGACTTCAGTGATGCACTTCCTCTTCATCATGTATCTTATATGTGGAATAAATTTAAAATATCAAACAATGAACCTTTTTAATTCATATATTTAAGCTTGAAAACCACTTTTAGCAGATTTCTGTTTGTAATACAAGGCATAAAATATTGTGGAGTAATTGAGTAATTAGTTGCAATAAAAAGCAGTTTGTGGACTTTTATAGATTATGGTCATCTGTGTATCCACTTGGGTGCTTGCACTGCACAAAGAAGATATGTCTTGGTGTTGTCATTATTTTGAATGGTCTGTGTGCATGTGCAGTTCTCTCAGGAGAATGCTGAGACCGTGAAGCAAGTGTACGGGGAGTTCTGCAGCCACCACACTGATGCCGTCAGCTTCTTCAAAGAGCTCCAGCAGCAGAATAAGAGATTTCAGCTCTTTATTAAAGTAAGAGATTTATTAAAGCTGTCTGTCAGAGCCAAAGACTGTTTTTAATATCAACTCAGCAGAAGTCCTTCATGCTGTCCAGTTCTACAGAACAGCTTGTGATATGGCTGTTGTAATATCAAGTTATAGCTGAGCATGTGTAGATGACCACTGCAATTATAATAGTTTCCATCTGTTCATGTGGCAATGTATGTGTATGAAAAAATATTAAAAATAGGAACTGTCCCTGTTGTCTTCAAAGCAACAGAGCAGCAACTCACTGGTGAAGAGGCGGGAAATCCCAGAGTGCATTTTGTTAGTGACACAGCGAATCACAAAATACCCTGTGCTTATAGAGAGGATACTACAGTACACTGAAGGTGGGTCTCTCTACACAACGATTTTTACACGCTCTCTCTGACACACAAGTGGTCAGAACATTCTCTAAACGAACTAAATGAAGTAAAGTGTGTTGTCTTTGGCTTCATCAAAATTACACGACAGAAGATCACTTTTTTTTTAAACCGTGCTCGGTAATCTATCAGTGGAGTAAAGTGATTTAATACTCAAATTGTACTTGAAATTTTTATCTAAACCTGAATTGCTTGAGCACATTTAGCCTGACTAAAACAAAAAGAACAAAATATCCCAACAAAAATCTGTCTGAACTAAACTGAAGCCCAAAGTTCTGTCTGAACCCAATGTAACCCAACAAAATTCTGTCTGAACCTCACTGTAGCCTGATGAAATTCAATCTGAACTCAACTGTAGCCCAACAAAATTCTGTCTTAACTTGACCGTAGCTTGACGAAATTCTGTCTGAACCAGACACTAGTCTGATGAAATTCTGTCTGAACTCAACTGTAGCTTGACGTAATTCAGTCTGAACTTGTCTGTAGCTGGATGAAATTCTGTCTGAACCCGACTGTAGCCCAACACAATTCTGAACCCGACCCCCACCAACTAAACAAAATGGAATAGAGACTGAACAAAGCCAAACTTTTCTATTCATGACACCTGCTAAGTTGCCATGTAACAATGACAGCCATCACAAATTACCTAGCTTTAAACTAACCTGCAAGATCCTTCAAAATAAAAATCATAGAAGTCAAAAAGCAATTTGTATTCATATTTCTCTCTCTCTCTCTCACACTCTCTCTCTCTCTCTCTCTCTCTCTCTCTCTCACTCTCTCTCTCACACTCTCTCTCTCTCTCTTCTCTCTCTCTCTCTCTCTCACTCTCTCTCTCTCTCTCACTCTCTCTCTCTCTCTCTCTCTCACTCTCTCTCTCACTCTCTCTCACTCTCTCTCTCTCTCACTCTCACTCACTCACTCTCAGAGGGCACAGAGGAGCACGCTGACCTGTCTGCTGCTCTGGCTCATATCCGTGATTTGATCTCGGCGGTGGATTTGCGAGTGAGCCAGCATGAGCAGAGCCAGTGGTTGAGTGAAGTTCTGAGCCGGATGGAGAACAAAAGTTCAGCTAAGCTGAAGGACGGCCACACCTTCCGTAAGCAGGACATGGCCAGTGGCAGAGCACTCCTGCATCACGGCCCACTGCTCTGGAAGACTGCCACAGGGAGACTGAAAGGTGAAAGAAACAGACGTAGAGAGAAGGAGAGCACTTCACTTCAGTAGAATTCCACTGATATTCAGAGTTTCATCTAGGCCTGCTGCAGTCATGACATTTTATCCACAAATAATTGGCCTATAAATAATTGTGAATAACAATTAATTGACTCCTAAATGATATTTAAAAGAGTAATTTACTAAAATGCAGTGATCTTGTTGCATTGCAGCAAGAAGTCTCTTCTCTGATACAGCAGTAAAAACTTGAGGCACTTTCTGTTTTTGGCCAAAAGAGAAATGAATAATAATAATAATAATAATAATAATAGAGTCAAATTTGACCGGAACATGGCTTCTGAGTGGCGCAACCGTCTAAGCGTTGGCCCTATCATCAGGAGATTGCGAGTTCGATCCCTGGTGATGCTACAGCCATCCGTAGTCGGGAGTCCAAGAGAGCACAATTGGCCTCGCTCTCTTTGGGTGGGTAGGATGGCCCCTCCCTCTCCCCCCATCACTCAATGCAATGCTAGTCAGCTCAGGCATCTGTTAGCTAACGTAACAGATCTGGCGGTTGGCGCTTTCCTCTGAGTGCGTTCAACTGTCCAATAATGTTGCATGAGCGGCAGTTCGAAAAGAAGCGGTGGCTGGTTTCACAAGTCTCGGGGGAAGCCTGTGTTAGCCTTCACCCTCCTAGCATTGGTAGTATCGTGTGATTGGGTGAGTCCTAACTAGCGGGTCAAATTGGAAACGACTAAATTGGGGAGAAAATTGGGTAAAAATCCAAAAAAAATTAATAAAAAAAAAATTAAAATTGACCGGAACAACCAGAGGGCTAACAGAAGTACCTTGTGTTCTTCTCAGTACTGTAATAAGGCATTTCATATAGTCAACCTAAAAAAGGAAATGAATTCACATTAATGTGATTAGCTTTTACGTTATGAGTAAAAATTGTATTACATTGTCAGTCATAATGTTGTATTACATTATTGGGCAAGTTGTTACATTATTGGGTTTTATTGCTTTATTGGGCCCTAGATGGAGGAGAATGTTTCAATCTACATAGACTCTGCTAAATGCATCCATCTAAATCAATCAGAATGCAATCTTTCATCTTGCTGCTGTTTTCAAGCCTTGAGTCTGTGTTTTTTTACCGTCACATAATCTGCACCAAGAATCTAATCTTTTTGGCCATTTTGATCTGAGTTTTTAAGTATAACTGAAGGTTGTCAGATGTCTCAACACTATTATTACATGTTTGTTCCCTGTGTTTATGCTCACTCGTAGATGTGCTGGCGCTTCTGCTGACTGATCTGCTGGTATTCCTCCAGGAGAAGGACCAGAAGTACATCTTTGCTACTGTTGTATGTCTTCATTGTCTTGCTTAATAAAACATCTACTGTAGAAACCCTCTGTCTAGAAAGATGTAATCCATAAGGATTAGAGTTAGAGTTGTTTTTATGAACCAATAACTTTTTTCTGTCTCTGTCAGTGTTTGTGTTCAATTACTGAGCTGCTCAGATTTGCTCACTCTAAGCTACTTACAGCAAAGTTGAGTGAGATCAGGGCTTGTTGGCAAGTGGAGATTCATGGCTTCATTTTCTTTAAAGCTCCTGCTAAGCACTCTGACTCTAATCGTTCTCAATCCCTCTCTTTCTCGCAGGACCAGAAACCCCCAGTGATTTCCCTGCAGAAGCTGATAGTGAGGGAAGTGGCTAATGAGGAGAGAGGAATGTTCCTCATCAGTGCCTCCTCAGTCGGCCCCGAGATGTATGAGGTGCACACGGCCTCGAAAGACGAGCGCAACGCCTGGATGAGGCTCATCCGAGAAGCTGTGGTAATGTGGGTAGCAACTTTTGACAAATTTACATGCATGTAAATGTATTTCTATTAGGGTAATTTTGTGATTTAAAATAATTAGTCACGATTAATCACATTAGTTTGTGTAGTAAATCACAGTTAATCATTTTGGAATCATTTGCAGTAATTTGACCCTACTAAAAAACCTTATCAGAATGTATTTATTACTTGCAATTTCAGTAATTCAGCTTGAACTTGAATGTAAAAAAGAAACATTTTCTTTCATAGTCACCTGAGCTCTTGGTATTATCCTGGTATGTGTGAGTTTAAACTCCAAAGCACTAGATAATTATTTTGGAAAATGATTACCAAGTACCAAGGCAGTGTGAATTGACTAACTTGTTTCAGAGATTAAACTGATAAAGGACATAGTAACATCTCATAATTATTTGGAGTAACAAGGTTGTGAATACAAACTATTTTTCAATGTAATGTTACATGTTTAAGCAAGAAAGTAAATCCAAAACACCTACAAGTACTGGGTAGGTATATACTGTAAAATGACACCACAAAATACGAAGAAAGATTTCTTAAGTAAAGACCCATATCCAATACAACCACTGTAAGAATCATTGCTTTCTTTTACAGCCCACAGTCTGCTTCGTTTATGGGTAAAAGACACCTACATACTATATGAAACGTGTGCAGTATTCGTGGGCATTCTTTTTTTTCTTTAGTAGCTACTCAGGATTTTTGCCCAAAATAATTACACAGTGCTGTGGAGTTTGTACAACATACTTACCCAGTTAACGCATAGAACCTGTTGGGCATTGCAGTGAAAATCATAAAGACTGTCTAGGATCTCTCATGTTACTCAAAATAATTATCTAGTATCTTGAAGTTTGTGCCTCACACTCACCTGGTTAATACCTTAACTTATGGGAGTGTAATAGAAAGTGTTACTCATAAAATCACATGAATTCCGGGTGAACATAAAAATAAGGTGAACACAGATTCCAGTTTTAATTACTGACATCCAGTGAGAGCAACAGTGGCTGCATGTTCCCCCTCTTAGGCAATTGTAGCCTTTGCTCTCATAACACTCTCATAACACAGTATGTCTTGTTTAGAAGAGAACTGGAGCTTTCCACTTTGCTATTGTTTTTATTAGTTTGCTGTTCTTTGATTTGTTCATGGTTCTACTGTGAGAACTATCCAAATAGTGTGCTAAAATCATACTCCAGAGCTAACATTACTGATATTAACGATATTGCAGAAACTGTATTGTGTCCTCTTGTAAATGGTACTTCAGATGCAGTGTGCTTCAGTGATAAATTAACGGCATAGCAGTAGCTGAAATTAACTTTTATCAAGCAAGCCACCAGTGGACTATAAAAGCCCTGTCTAAATGAAATGGTTCTAGCCAAAGAGTCATAGCAGCAGTGCGTAGGCAGATGGGCTACAAGGTGGAACTATGGATAGTTTGAACGTTCACACTAGGAAAATTTGTTAATGGTGTCCAGATTTCCTTACAAGTACAAGAAACGACAGGGGGGAAAAAAGTTATAAATAAATTCTAAAAATAAGATTGAAAGAAGTTGACTTGCTTAGTCCACTTAGAAATATGTTTTGTTTCCCACAGATTTATTGAATACCATATGATATCAGCTTAACATTTCCTTGTTAGAACATCCCACTGTTTCTTCCCAGCTCAATACCCAACTGTATCAGATGTACTAAGCTCAGATTGGACATATTCTGCTTGCTTGTTACGTATGAAACTGCCACACAAGCCTAAATACACAGTTTATGTGCTGTATGCATGGAAAAAACACCGAATGAATTTCTCTCCCTCAAGCATTAACATTTGAGGGAGGGTTTCGTAAAACGTGGCAGGAATGCATGGAAAATGAGTGAAGATATAGTCTGATTACATATTCCACTCAATTTCTTAACATTGGAGTATCTAACATCAGCTGATTTTGTAAGGATTTTTATCTGCTCTTTAAAACTAGGTGTATGTTTGTGGTGGTGACTCAAAGGCATGTTGTTAAAAGACCTCTTTAGTAACGTCAGCAGACACAGTGGCAAAACACAGCCATGCTGAAAGAATATTTGCAGCGGATAACACTATTTCAGCTCTCAGGATCAGATGTGTATGAGTAAGAAGATGGAGCGCAAAATATGTAGCCTTGTAGGGCAGTGAACCCATCAAGCACATTTTGGGCAATGCTTTTGCTTCTACATACATCTGGCTTACTGTGTGTGGAGTACCAAAACTTTATCGGTCCAACTTTATATTAAGTGTCTGTAATAACAATGTAGTTACACATTAACAATACATGCAACTACATTACTGATGGATTATAGATGGATTATAGTAGGACAGCTTATGTGAATACACGTGTATCAACTTTTTGCTCATGCACTTATATAAGTGTATCTTCATAGTTGTAACAGCAAATTTTCTCTTATGTAATTACACGTGTAATGAAATGAGAGTCATTACTTTTGTATTTTTACAATGTATTGTACATAATTGTACATACGCCACACGTGCACAGGAAATGGCAACTTTCCAAGCATTTAGCTCGCTGTGGTAAGATGCTTGTCTTGTGACATGGTAAGCAAAGTTCTGGCTTTAAACCATTCTACAAGGAGATTCACTCGAAAGAGGCCCCGAATATTCTGTTGTAACTCCCGTTAGGATGAAGCAATCTGAACCAAAAAAATACACAACATACCTTGACGTATGTGTAATCAATTGCATTACATGTGATGCTGGAAGTGATCTACGTTTTATGCCAGACACATGAGTGGGTACGGGGGTATGCACCCGGAAGTTGCAAACGGAGGATAAACGTTGTGACGGCTGTCCGGCGCCTACCTCATCGCTCTGACGCAGGGGCATCCCAGCTTGTTCGAGGCTCCATGTACTGAGAAGCACGTTGCACATTGTTTCGTTCAGATTGCTTCATCCTAGCGAGAGTTATTACAGAATATTCGGGGCCTCTTTCGAATGAATCTCCCTGTATAATGTGACAGTATTTACACAATAACAGAAAATGTCTATTTATCTTTAAAAGATATATCTTCATATAGGTACTGTGAAATTACAGGTTGGTATTAGTCCATCATGATTTGATGCACTGTGTGTACTCTCATAATGTAGGTAATTAACTAACTGTACTAACTGTGATGTATTCCATCTGTAACAGTGAATGTTACACCAGTAGTTACATTTCTTGTTGCATGTATTGTTGATGTGTAACTGCCCAGTTGTTAGAAACAATTAGTATAAAGTTTGATCGCCTTAACAGAGTCTCCAGCTAGCAGAAAAAACATTATTTCATTATGGTGCTTCAGTTTTGATCCATAGAACACCAACTTCTGGCACTGGCATAGATTACTCCCCCCTCCAGTTCAAATACTGATATTTTGACCACTGAACAGATACAGTTATACTGCCTTCTCTTTATCAGTTGCCATGAAAAGGAAGATGATACTGCATGCGAATCAGAAGAAGAGAGAAAAGTGGCGGAAGCAAAGGTCCAGAGAATTCACAAACTACAAGGTGAACTGCTCCACATCTCACCACTCAGAGCCTGATTTACTGTCAGATGACTGTACTTTTTTACTGGAGTGATGTTTTGTTGAGATGTTCCATTTGACAATCATTGTGCCATGTACAAAAATCTGCAAATAAATAGTTGTTTTTGAGTGTAAAAATGTAATTGGGGCACAATCACTGTTCACATCAATTAAATTCTCACTTTTTTGGAACTTTTAAGGGCCTTTGCCGTTATTTTGCTGATGCAATTCATTAAGTGTGTCACAATTACTTGATTCAAAATTGTTTGATTAATCTCGATTAATTTGCTTAATGATCAAGTTGCACATTGAACAGTATATCTGCAGGTCATTATAAAGGTGTATTTAGCAGAATCACCACAAGGGAGTGCTATAAGCACTGAAATCATTTTTGTGAGCATCACTGAAAGAGAAGAAACCCACCACCACCAGGATCTAATGAATGCACATACAATAGTAGTAATATATTGCATGTACAGGAAGTAAAAGGTTTGCTGTTAATTGCATGTATATGAAGTGAAAGGTTTTGTTTAATTAGATGTAAGCTGCACAACTTGATAGTCAGCTAACTAGCTAACAGACTGCTCCAGTAATATTCAGAGTTAGGCTTTACTGTAAACCTACAACATACTAAATAAAGAATATTCCACTGAATGGTCTGTTACAAGCTTCAAATGTCCATGTTTAAGGAGGGCTGGTTTCAGTGGTGTTAAATGACATAAGGGGACGTGAATGCTTGCTCAATAAATTGTCAAGATAATCACTAAATTACTCAATTACACATATAGTTAATTGTGATAGTGCTATAGTCTTTTCACAGCCAGATCCAGTAATATTTTTTCTTAATAATCCCTCAGCTTTTAAGTTGCCAATTTGCATGCATGTATATTTACCATGTGCTGGTCTCCGTCTGTTTGACAGAGTCTCTGTGTGGTCAGGATCAGCTGATCTGCTCCAGTCTGGAAGAGAAGCTGCAGATCTACGCAGAGCTCTCAGCTATGGCGGGCCACAGAGACGTGGGGCCCGAGCCCAGGCTGCTGGTACGACCAGGAACTGACGAGCTTCCGCATGCTGCTGTTCTGCTTAACGCTGCACTCAAAGAGGGTGAGACACATACATTTTTTGCTGTAGTGCAGTGTGGTCAGAGTTTGGTCCTGAGGGTCACAGCTCTATAGGGTTTACTGTTTCCCTGCTCTAAAGCCAAGGTTACATTATGAATTTCAGGCACATGCACAGGTAGAACTTGAGAGGGCATGAGCCCCTGACCACAGATGGTATAAGTGCCGTCTTTGTTGATGTGGATAATAAATGTATATTATATTTCCTCCCCCTTTCTTCAAGATCCATTTCAGCTTAGCTCAACTCAACAGTTAAGCTTGTAGGTTGGCTTTGGTTGTATGAGGTTCATCGCTCTTGGGCACCCTATCTGGTGCAGTACTGACCATCTACAACCTGTTACACATCAGCTCAGCTTTGGGAATCTCACCATTAAAACACTCATAATATCTTTAAGAAATTGCCACATTCCATAATGTGGTTATTTTGAATGATACTTGGCCTGGAGGTACAATTCTAGGAAAAAAGGCCCATATTCACATTTTTCCTGGATTTTATGTTTTTGTTTTCCCTTTTGTCCACTTATGATGTTGGTGTAAGTTTATATACAGAGAGGGACTTCTGTTCTCACTGAGAGCTTTGTGGTGAGAACAGAGGCAGTTGAGTCTAAAACAAGCCTTCTAACTTTCGTTGGAATGAGTGGGGCTAAACTGCTATAGGCTAATTAGGTTGATATGTTAGGGATGTTCACAGGTACCCAGTTAACCACTTGAGGTGCCAGTATTGCAGTACTGACACTGTTTTTCAGTGAATTCGTTCTTATTAATCGCTGGAAAATGGAGAGAATATACAGGTTAGCAATTCAGTGAAAACATTGATTTTATTTCATTTAACAGGACTGCAAGTTTTGTAAGTATACATAAAATATAAGTGTAAGACACGGGTGCCTGAACGTGAGCACTTTGCCAAGGACGTGTTAAGTTGTGACTTAGAAGGCAGAGATGGCATCTGGCTCTGGTGTGGCTTTTTTGATAACTAGGCTAGCTGATATTAGCAGAAGCAGTGTAAATAAATTGGCTCAGCATAGTAACAAGTTGGCATATCATCCACTGAGGAGAAAAGACATCAGAGAAATATGTTTGAAATAAATGTTACCACCTGTTCGTAAAGCACTTTGAGCCACCACTGGTATAAAAAGTGCTCTATAAAAAAAGATGTTGTTGTTGTTGTTGTTGTTATTATTATTATTATTATTATTATTATTATTATTATTATTATTATTATTATTATTATTATTATTAACTGCTTCTGGATCTAGCTAATATCAGCTAGAGTGGTTAGCAAAAAATCTATACCATGCTACCTTCTGAATCGCATCCTTAACAGCGCATCCTTGGCAACTCACTCACATTTTAGACACTCATATTTTTTAGTAGCAAAGTATAATATACTTACTGGAAAATTTTTACAGTAAAACCTAAATAGTTAACCTGTTTGTTTTTACCATCTTCCTGTGATGAAACATAACAAGTACCCAAATAGTGATTTTAGTATTTGAATACTGCCATCTCAAATGGTTAACAGAGTATCCGTGTACATCTCTAATCTGAGGAGCACGGTCTCTAATTTTAGTATATGACTTTTTAGTATATGTTTAAAATTTCCTACTGCATACTGTTCATGTATAGACTGTGCCCAGTAGTAGCAAGTAGCATGAAGAGTGTGTTCAACATTAAATTCTCCAGTACATTAAATATACTTGGATAACCTACTGGCTAATTATTCCACCATGCAAACAGAACTGTGTTCTCAGAACTACACTCAGTACTAGTACTATACTGTTTGCTACAGTATATACTGGTACTGTATGCAGTACACACTGCACAATATTGTGTTTTCAACACAGCATATCAATAAATACTTCTTTTGTTTGTTAGATTTTCATTTTTCTACATCATTTGAGCACAGAGGCTGCCCCTATAGGTTGTGTGAAAATTTCATGATGGATGGACCGACAGAGAGAGAATTTTGGTGATACTTGTTTTTTTTGGACTGCAATGATATCAGTTTGTTTTTTCTGTATTTTTTTTTTGTTTAAATCTGTAGTAGTAGTCATAGTTCAGTAGTGAATTAGTAGTAGTTTAGTAGTAGAATTTGTAATCTAGTAGTAAATTGATAGTATGAAAAAAGAAGCCATTTTACATCAATGCTTCTTATACTGTCAGCGTCCCATTCTGGACAGGGTTCCCACAGGTCCTTAAGAAGTTGTGTAAAGTCTTGGAATAGATATGAAATTTGTCATAAAATGTCTAAAAATGTCTTTTATTGTACTATTAGAAATGTTAAATTTAGGGAAGTCTGATCCTGCCGTATTTTAATGGATCAGGTATTAAATACAAATAAGCTTGATCCATTTTCGGTCCTTTGTATTGTTTTTGCGCTCTGTTTACTCCGCTGTCATAAAACTGTCGCAGAGGTGCCATAAACAAGCATTATCCACAGTCTACAGCAGTGAGAAACATTTTCAGAACATAACAAAGCAATTTAATTGTCTGCAGTCTGGAACTGCTTTAAAGTGGAAAATGAGTGCCTGTGTTTCTACTGTGTTTATGCCCATGTTTCTGCTTTATTTTTGCTGTCTTTAATTAGATTTAAAGGCATATAAAAGTATTCTAGTCATTTGTCACAAGTGTCATGCTGCCAAACCTTGTACAAAAAAGGAGTGGCTACTGCATGAGTATTAAAGCAATATGAAATCATAGTGAATTCAGGATGTTATGAAATGGTAATTGCACATGAATAGTCCACAAAAAACAATATTTATAATTTGAGTGTCCCACCATGCACATCTCAAAGATTTCACTGCATTTTAAAGTAACCAGTGAATTGGCCAATCAGGTCAATGAACTGGATCATTTTAAACAATGAGCCAAAAGGCTATAAAGTAAGCCAAAACATTTAAATATATCACTCTTGCATATCACATTATGCATATACTAAAAATGAAGAAATATGTGCTGTTGGCAGCTTAACATATCTACCTACCTAATCTGTGCAGCTGTATTATCTGTGAAAACTGGTACTCCATGTTAAAGGGTACATGGACAAAGGGCAAATTTGGGATATCCCTAATTTAATGCTAAGATGATTCCTAAAGAATGTCATTTTATAAATTAAACTAATTCAGAATAGTCAGTGAACTAAAATGATATAGCTGACAACATTCCTATCATCAGAAACTGACCACCAAAGATTGATGGGCAGCTAAACTGATAAATTTAAACACTCTCAGAAGTACAAAGAACATGCAATCTCAATGCATATGTCTGTATATTTACAATCAGTTGACTTGAATAAAAGAGACATTGATACATGCCATATTCGCATGTAATATATGCACAGTCATGCAGTGGGATATTTATTTATTTTATTTTATTTTATTTTGCTATGTTGAAGTCTTAAAAAGGTCTTCAAGATCTTGAAAACTTGTGCAGCAACCCTTTTATACGCAAAGGGCTGGTGTGGTTGGAATGAAACCCTACTGCCACACCAGCGTTTACTTTATGGCCTTCCGAGGTTGTCCTGGTTTTTACCATGGCTCGCAGTAAAATGTAAAAGTGTAAAATATGAATCTGATGATAGCAATCTTTAATCTCTCTCTCTCTCTCTTTTTTTCTGTTTTCCAGCGGAGAGTCTGAGAGCAGCTCTGTCATCTCGCTGTGGCTCTCCCTCCTCTTCAGCTGTCCTCCCCACACTCCTGGAGCAGACAGCACCTGACACCTCCGGCAAGGAGTCACTTCCTGCTGCTCTTTCTCCTCCTCCTTCCCCTGCCGAAGGAGAATCCCCATTAGTGGACACACCACGGGGTGAAGAGGAGGAGGTGGGTGGAGAGGAAGGGCTGGACCTCCAGCTTCAGAATCATAGCACAGCGACTGACAATCATAATATGCATATTCAGGTAAGGAAACAGTTCCTGTTTATGCATTTTTCAGTTCAGTTAGAATTAGAATTGCATTATAGTGCTTCTTACAACAGATTTTGTCTCAAGGCAAAAACTAATGAGCAGGCAAAAACTTTAAAGATCATAAGGAACAAACACTGAGAGGAATCAAGACTCAGTAAGAGAAGTCCTACTCTGGTTGACCCTGGACAGCAAAATTATATTAACAAATGGGAGTTAAAAAAACTATGATTACAGAAATGAGATTAAACAGACATTCAGAATAGACAGTAGAGAGATTCATATGATAATATTAGAAATCTGTGAAAGACTGTCAGAAGTAGAACTGGTGGACTAGCAATTGGGTTAAATAGATAAAGCGCCAATTGCCCAGACAGGGATTTAGTCTGAATCCTGATTTTCCACTGAAATGAAAATAAAATACATGACTAGACTTAAGGCCTGTCCAGTAAACCGGCCTTAAGAGGAAATCATTACTGATGTGAGGAAATCATTACTGATGAGGACCCGCAAAACAGGCAAGTTTACTTATTTTGAGGATGTTTCGTTCTCAGAAGAAATACATGACTCATAGACACGGCCTTAGAAATACATGAACTCTCAGACATTGCCCTAGAAGTACATGGACCCACAGACTTTGCCTTTGAAAGACATAGACTCTCAGACATTGTCATAGAAATAAATGAACTCACGTTGCCATAGAAAAACATGGAATATTGCCATATAAAAAATGTATTCATAGACGTTACTAGAGAAACATATGGAAACACATACATTGCACACATTGGCTCATAAACACTGTCATATAAACACATGGGCACAGAGACATTGCCATAGAGACACAAGGACTCACAGACATTGCCAGGGAAACACGTGCTCATAAGTATTGCCATAGGAACACATGTAGTCACCTACATTGCCATAGAAACACAAGGACTCATAGACATTGCCATATCCTGATTGTATATTTAACCTTTCTCTTCCTATTCAGATGAAATTACAGTTGCGAGTTATTAAAACAAAATTTCAGTAGCATTAGAAAGTATTATAAATAAGAAACAGAAAATTAGTCATATTTAGTCCGCACATACTAGCTTGTTGTAAGCAACAGTGTTGTTAATAGTGCATAAGCATGTAGCAAATGGTAGTAGAAGGTTGAAAGTAGATGTTTTAAGTAGTACACCTATACAAATAGCCCCCTTCACTGCTAGAAATATGGTTATTAGTCCCACACAGTAGCATTAATAATTTAGAGTCTTCTACTAAAATCACATCCCAGTCTTAATATTATGAAACATTAATGAGCTCAAAATAAGGAGAGAGTCCATTTCACTGCCTCTAGGGCACCATTTCATTAAAAATGAACAGTGATAATTAGACCTTCATTTCCTTCAGCTCCTTCCTTTTCTGCTTCTGTTGGCGCCTTGGATGATGCAGTGCCGTATATTACACTGATAAGGCACAGTGCTGACCCAGGCATAAGCTAAAAGACTGCTTATTCTTACATTTAGGGAAATAATTCTCCCTTTTTCTGCCCTTTTGCAAAAAAAATATAATGAAAACATGTGGAGGTAGCATTATTGGGCATTTTCTACTACCATAATTGGAGAATATTGAACTAAACTACCACAGATTCAGTTGCTAGGTAACTGTATGTGTTCTGTATCTTCCGGTTTCAGACATCACATGAAGTTGCAAAAACAAGTTTCAGATGACCTAATGAAGTTACAGGCTCTCAGTAATTTAATTAAGTTGTCAAATTAGTCCAAAATAGCACACTCGGGCATAGTAATGTGGCCTGTTTGTGTAATGCAACATTCTGATCGACCACAATACAGCTCACCTTTTAGTTTCCTCTCTTGGAGGTTGTAATTGGTCCTAATTGACTTTTAAATGTCTCTGTTTAATTTCATGCACAGCAGCTGAGGGTCTATCAACACGTCTTCATAGATGTGAACTTGTGAACATCTAAAAAGTGATAGAATGTGTGTGCAGAAAATAAATGTTCTGTAAAGATAAATTTGTTACTCACAATGTGTTTTATTACCAATCATGCAAGGTTAGGTTTTGCCAGTGGAGGACCTGGACATGAACAGAGTCTTTAGTATTAGTGGTTGTTCATGTCAATGGTGTTCGCTCAGTGGTCCATGTATTCCTGGAAGCACGTCTTGGATGCTGCCATCTTTTGAAGTAACCATTTTCAAAATACAGGAAATTGACATTAAGAATGGGTGACAGTGTGTAGCCTATGTGTGGGAAACACAATGATGCAAATTTTTGGTGTACAGTATCCTCCTGTGTCACGGGGAGAGCTGCAGCCTATGCCAGTGGTCACTGGGCAGAAGGCATAAAACAATACAGAAAAAACAATATATAATTTTATTATTTCTATTCTTAATGCATTCCTAATAATGAATAATTCTCCTCATTTTAACATAATGCACATGATGCTCGAAATGCTTCACTGGGGGTTAAATGGCAAATTACAGAAATATACAATCACCAAAAGAATAAATGTAAGAAGAATTTAATAATAAATGTTTACTATTTTATTAAACAACAAATTAGGGTATAAAACCTAATTCATTAAATAATAAATGATTGTTGTTAAATGATGAATAAATTACTAAAATAATATAAAAATAACAAATACATAAAAACTGAGTTCAAGAATTCTTGATTAAAATGATAAATTGTAGTTTTCATGCATAAAACAACGTATCAAACATCATATTTTGACATTGTTGTTGTTATTATTATTATTATTATTATTATTATTATTATTATGCAGCAGATCCACTCCACTCTTCATATTATTGAGGTGCTTCTACTTCAAATATTACAGTTCAGTCTATTGAGTCACATCATTTTCTGTACTGTTGTAGATAAATGTATATATTGAAGATATAAAGTGATTGTTAGAACTGTGGATCAAATGAAAGGAAGACATATTATAGGAGACAACAGGGGTCATATGGTAGTCTACAAGAGCTCAGAGGTCCGTATATATTTACATTGAAGAGCGCCTGAAATGAATGGAAGTAAATGATAGCTTCTCTAATGCTTCAGCAGCTCATTTCCGGTGGCACACTTTGGAAGGCAAATGCTGACCTGTTTAACCTCACATTACATGGTGGATCACATGACATTTATAAGGCAGCAAAATAGGACACAACTTAAAAATGAGAACAGAAGAGACTTATATTACTGCTTATTAGCAAAGTTTTAAACTATTTCGCTGTGAATAAAGTCAATGTGGCCATTCAACAGCAATCGAATACATTTACTTTTAATTTATAGTTCTTATTCTCTGCTGGGTCACTGTTGCCAGTTATATCAGCCAAACAAGAACCACCAGATGGCACTGTATACTAGAAATAGACAAGCTGCCAGTGTGCATATATCCTCAAGGGGGCAATCTGTTTTCACCTTGGATTGTAAACAAAGAATATTCATTGTCGGTCTCTTTCCCCAATACGCTCTGTTCTATAGGCCTGGATGAGGTTAGTCTTATATGGGTGATTTTTTTAAGGGTGAAGTTTAATCTGTCTTTAAAAAATATGACCACTATATGGAAGGAAGATAGAATAGATTTATTAGTAGAGGGCTACATAAAAATACCTAATCTCTTAGTAATTCCCATTTCAAACATATAAATCATTATTTGGACCTAATTTAATTGTGCCATACATTTTTATTTAGTTAAACTGAGTCTTTATATATGACCCTTGTTACTATAACATAAAATGCAATTGCAGTTCATATCGATATGTTTTCAGTTCAAGTCAAATTGGTTCCCTTGGTTCTTCACTGAGTTATAATAGTGGTAGATAGAGGTAATAATGGTAATACTTTAAAATTAAGTATTTATTTTTAAAACTTAAAGTGCAAGGCCGTGGAGTCCTGCTCAGACACTTTAATCGGTACAAAATGACCCTTATTCCTTAAAGTTACATTCAGTCAAATCCCATCCGAATAAAATGAAGGCACACAAATTTCACCGACAGTTTTGTTATTCATCAGTTCCATCTTTAGTGTATCTGTACAATCAAACTCATGTCTGGTAGGAGTGTGGGTGAATTTGAGTGTAATTTAACAGCCTGAAAAAATGCTTGATTTAGTGGTGAACTAAACAAGCCTATTTTCAATATCATCTATTATACTAGATATATTATATATATTATAATAGAAAATAACAATACTGCTCATTGTGGTACATGGCAGTCCAGTATGAAAGTGGAGGTACTTATTTTACATGCACACTGGTACACTGGCACACTGATAAACTAGTACTGCAACTATTCATGTTCCATTTAAGAACAAATTACACTGTACTTTTATTTTATACAACTGACACAGCACACAAAGTAAACAATACAAAACACAGCTAGTGCAGTAGCATTTCAATAATACTGTGTTTAAATCTGTTATTTCAGGAAAATAAGCACACTACACAATCACATCATTTTACAGTCATTGTATTCTTTCCATTCGTTAAGTAGGGGGAGCAGTGCACTCACTGCTCGGCCTCAAACTCCCACCTACAAGCGCAGCCATTGGATAATGAGCCGCTGAATGGTGTCATTTCATCGGCTCCCCATCAAAACAACTGCATGAATTAGGGTGTGCTTCATGTAACGGTTATGTAAATGAGGTTCTGAGGGCTGGTGCTTGATTTCACGCACTGAAGTTGATTCACTATTTACGCTCAAATCTCTGCTTGTTTCCACATTGTAAGTTTCATGTGCCCTGATGAGTACATGGACAGCAGTCATTACCACTGTGGACAGGTGGTCTGTTTTCTTCCTTACCCATTGTCCACTGTCTAGTCTCTCCTGTCTCGTGCTTAATGGTTGCATTGTTATTATATATTGTATATTATTGTTTAGTGTCATTTAGCTCATTGTACTGTTGTATCATGTAGCATTGTGTCCTGGAGATACTATATTGCTTTTCTGACTCAACACATCTGTGGTGAAAAGGACAATGATGCTAATTTTGACTTTATCAAATGTAAACATGCTCTAAGATTCTATTATAAAAGTTGTTTATAACACAGTAAACTGTATTATTATAAATAGCCCACATTCATCAAAATAAATGTGGTCATCAGAATAAATTAGGTCATCATGGATGTATGTCACCCTGCTCTTGGGTGTGGCTGGTTTCTGTTTAGTCATTGTTTTTGTTTGTGTGTTTATGTCCAGGTGTGCCAGAGTGTCCAGAGTTTGACCCAGTTGCTTTACAGTCTGCAGGTGATCTCATTTTACTGTCTCATTCACACATACACAAACACAGAGTAATTACAGTGAATCATAGTTTGTCTCTCTTGTTTATCTCTTTAAAACAGATATACCCCTCTCTGTCTCTTTCTTTTTGTCTCTCTCTCTCTCTCTCTCTCTCTCTCTCACACTCACTCACACACACACACACACACACACACGCACACGCACACACACACGCACACACTTTAAACCCTCAGAGGACATACACACTGCATGACTCACTTTGCATGTATGAGAACCATTTTGTGAAGTCATTGCCTTTCAGTAAAATTCAGTTTGAGTTCAGTTTCAAATATGACGTTCACATGAATCGTGTAGATCTGACAGAATGGGAGGGGGCAAAAAATAAATGTCAGGACATCCCTAATTAAATTTTAAGATGATGCCTAAAGACCGTTTGGAAAACTGTATCATCATATTAACCTAATCCAGAATAGTTCGCCAGTGGTCTCAACTGACAGCGGTTGTGTATGTTGTATATGGTTCTATATAGAACCTTTCTGAAAAGGGTTCTGTATAGCACCAAAAAGGGTTCTTCTATTTTTACAATGTCAAGCTTGCTACAATAGAAGAACCATTTTTGGTGCTATACTGAACCTTTTTCAAAAAGGCTCTATATATAACCATCTATAGCATGTTCTCCATTAATTGGAAGAACGCTTTTACAATGCAAAGAACCCTTTAATCATGCAAAGGGTTCTTTCAGTGTTTATGGTTCTATATGGACCCATTTCCTTACTACAGAACGAGGAACCATCTTTTTTTTTGTGTACCATTAATTCACTCTCAGTGAAGCTCGTATATGAAAGGTCTGAATGCGCATCCCTTCTGCAGATACGCCAGATGGAGATCTGGGGCTGTATTACAGAAACTTGCTATCTTTAGTCCTAAATTAAGACAAGATCAAGATTAGATTTTTCAAAAATTGGTATTTCAGAAGCAAATCTTATCTTAATTTGGGAATCTTGTCTTATTTTACATCATCTTATCTCAAGTCAGGAAATCCTAAACTACTCAATCATAGTCGGTATTTGATTATGTCTGTTAACCAAGCAAACAGCGATAAGTGCATAGGTGAAACATAATCAAAATAATGTTAATAGTAATAGTAATTAGCTTGACATCTATCCATGTACAGAAACAAGACAAAGCTAAAGTGTAATAAACTGAAAGATAAGAATGTTTTCACAGTCCCCTGCTGTTTAACGGGGCGTCACCATTCCAAGGTTTCCGTTTCCATTTCCCAAAGCTTGAACCTTCCATGCTAATATTATTCCTCCTAAATAACAGCCACATGTTCAGCTCTGCCTGATCACTATTGAACACCATTGCTGCAATATTTTATTAACATTAACACACAGAGTTGTAATATACCGTCATTGTGCTAGTTGTGAACTTGTTTTGCTGCCTAAAAACTAACATTCTCTTTTTTGACAAAGCGGCTAAGCGGGAAGGTTAAATCAGAAGTTAGGATGCCAAAGTGGTTTATCTTAAAGTTAAGACAGTATTTAGGAAATTTTGTCAAGTTAGGATGCTTCTGTAATAATGTTTTCTTATCTGGAGTTAACATAAGGTCATGAATTTTAGGAACTGTTATTCTGTAATAACTACTGTCCTAAATTCAGTCCTAACTAAAGTTGTCTTGATAACTAAATAGATAATAAAAGATTTCGGAGTTATTATGTTTGTGTAGTGCAGACTTAGGCTTGAAAAACACTGGAGGACTCCTTTAAGGACAGTCTGCAGACACTGTATTTATTTGGTATTCCTATTTGGAGGCTAAGATCTAAAATTCCTTTTGAAGTTAACCTTTATAGAGTCACCGAGGAGCCAAAAAAAAGTTTCAGAAGAGAGTTTTAGAAACAAATGGCACATCCACTGAAAGGCTGATGAGTAAGTTTTCCAGTGCCCCTCTGACACTTGGCAAATAAAGCCACTTAAATCTTTTAATCTGTGCTGCCTGACGGTTGCTTGAGTGAAGAGGCGTGAAGTGATCATTGAAGAGTACTAATTTAGGGATGAGCAATCCAGTTAAATTTGCATGAGTCTATTGCACTCGTCCTCAAGTAGTGAGTCAGCCAGCACGTTATTTCACAGATGTTTTTCAGTGGAAGAAGTAACACTTTATTTGGATGGTCCACTGTAGATGTTTTGTATATGCTCACCTTGTCCTTAAGCGACATTCAGACATCAATTAAATTTAGCTTTGGCACCGACACACCCCTCCCCCTTTACATTTAAGTGATTTTAAAGGGCCTCAGTCATAGAAAAACAAAATTTACTCACAAGTTTGATGTACTATCTACACGCTATTGAAAACATCAGTCTTATTGACCAAAAGAGCTCATTTTAATTCATTGTTGATGTCATGAAAATGACATTTACATATGTCTGACAGCAGTTTAGCTCCGCCCAGTCACAGTGAAGTTATAAGGAGTGTTTTTTGAATGAGGCACAGTATAGGACAGCCAATTAGAATTCATTTACGTATGTCAGTCTTAAAGGCACAGTTACAAAAATAACCTAACAATTCTAAGAGATAAAGAGAGGTTGGAAAATGTAATGTGTGCTTTTTGGTCACTTCTGAATTATACTTCATGAATAAAATATCTTACATTTAGCTTTGTGTTGATGGGTCTTTCAGCTAGAATACTTCAGTGCAGTCAGGGCCAAGAAAGCAATGTACATTACTTATTATTACTTATGACACATAGTCTTAACTGAAGTGTTATTTATAAGTGCTGTTTACTGTAGATAGTATAAATATTTCTGTTTTTTTTTCCCTTAAATGTTACTGAGATGGTTTTTGCTCTTCAAACTCTGAACCTATTACTAACTTTAAGTCTAACCTAAACCCAAAATCTAAATCTTTCATCCACATTTTAACCCTAATGCGTTAGATAAACAAAGTTTCTCCAGATAGTTTAACAATTCAAACATTCGTAGACGAGTTGTTGTATACCATTGGAAAGTCTCATGAGTGAAAAATCAAATTTTCCCAGTTTTCTTCATATCCAAGTGTAGTCGATCAGCCAAGATAAGTCTGCTTCCTAGATTTTGCAAGGCTAATGTAAAAAGTGATAAAAGCTAATAGCCGTTCGTTAGCATTGTGCAAACAAAGTACCTAAGGTTGCATTAACAAGACATTTTGGAGCCTGTCGAAAAAAACCCATTGATAGACATTGCTGGTTTGTATGTGGGCGGAAATCAAAATAACCAGGAAACTCAACAAGAAAAAAACTGGCCAATCCTGTTCTTTTTCATAAAATGAAGCAAAACAGATGTGTTAGAACAGTCGCTGTCCTAGTGTATCTTTAGAGGTGGATTGACGACTCTGAATATGAGCTGACTACAGCATTACTTTCTCCACAATTTTCTTCAAAATCAACATGACCAACTGAAGCCCTCAATCAAGTTTCAGCCTTTCAATAATTTAATTAGTCAGATTACTCCAAATTAGCACTCAGTCATTAGCACATTTAGTAATGTGCCCTGCTGAGGTCATGCATCATGTTTTTTCCTTTCCAGGCGGCCGTCACTATCCAGGATAGCTGCTACGAAGTCCAGCGGCTCCTCCTCCTTCTCTTGTCAAACCACGCCCCCCACAACACTCAGCCCCGCCCCTCAGTCGGTCTGCAGGAGCAGGAACGACAGCGGGAGGCGGAGCGTCGCCGGGAGGAGGCGGCGGGCGTGGCACGCCTTCGCAGCACCCTGGCCCGGGAACGGCAGCAGTGGGAGCGCGAGTGCCATGCCCAGCAGCTTCGGCACAGCCAGCAGGAGGGCGTGCTGGAGCAGAGGGAGCAACAGTGCCACCTGGAGACGCAGAGGCTGCAGCAGGAGCGTGAGGAGCTGCAGGAGCAACTGCAGGACTACCAGCAGAGCCTGGAGAGGCTGCGCGAGGGCCAGCGCAGTGTGGAGAGAGAGAGGGAGCGGCTGGAGACCCAACGTAGACTGCTGGACAGCTGGAGACACGGACGGCAACGAAGTCTGCCTGCCATGGTCATACCACTGGACGGTCAGCAGGTGGGTGACATTGTAGTTCGTGTGTTTGAGTGTGTTTGTGTTGGGACCCAACTGACATGTAACATTTTGTCACCAAGTTTGAAATAGTTAAAAAATTCTGCTAACTGATAATATTGGTTAAAATACTATTATACAGTCAAATGCAGAATTCCCCAGTCAAATTACGTTTTGTTGATTTTCTAAGTGAAGCTAATTTAACACATCCTCTTTAGAGAACACACTTAAATATATCATTTTTCTGCCAATTTTTATGCACAATTTCTATTTATGTATAAATAGAGATCTTTATATTGTGCGCAATATTTATTTATTTGCAGAGTTTGGAAAATAAAACATAAAATATTAAATGTATGGTAGCTTTTGCACAGGCCACATTTTATTTATTTATTTACAGATGTGTTAAATTCAAAAAATAAAAATTGTGTATTAAAATGTACAGTGTGTTCTCTGTAGAGAATGTGTGGAACTTTCACTTAGAAAATCAACATAACGTCATTTGACCAGGGCACCCAAACACTTGCAATTGACTGTATAGTCAAAAATTTACTGACTCCAGTAGTTTGTTAAACAGTGCTGTACAGCATTTTTAAAATTAAACTTTAAAGAAACTTACAGTTAAATAGAATGAACTTTCACACAATAGCAAAATTTAAAGCAATTTCTACTTTCAATTTAAAATACTCTACTACACAGAAACAGAAATTAACTGTGTTCACACTTAGAAAATCACAAGTTTCATGTGGTATAATACAGTATTTACAGGCTGACATTATGCTTGATTAATGTTCAATTAAGCACCACATTCCCAAATGTGATTTTCTTATATAAATATTAAGGATCAGTCCACTGCTGGTGGGGTTGATTTTATTGCCTAGTTGGTTGGGGGCCTAGTTTGACATGTCTACGACAGGTCCTGTTTTTAAGCAGCAGTAATGCCTAGTCTCTTGGGACCAGGCATGATCTTATAACGAGAACATCTGGGGGCAACCATGAGAAATTTTGGGATAAATGTGGGAGCAAATGTCGACTTAATAGGTTGGGTGTGCAATTTCCAAGCTAGCCCAACATCTTGTGAAGACGGGGTTCAAAGTAGGAGGTAATGGTACTCTCATCAACATTGTTTAAAGGACAAAAAGCCTGTCATTAGTAGGGAGGTGCACAGGTACTCGAGAACTCTGTTAACCATTCAAGACACCAGTATTCAGATACTGAAATCACAGTTCAGAAACCCATTCCATTTTATCACAGGGAAACGAAGAAAATATAAAGACTGCAGTGCAATGAAATGCTGCTTTTATGTTTTAACAGAATCTGGCCAAACAGGCTGAGATCCAATATTATCTTGTAGAATGTATCTGTTGTCTGTTTTTGAATGTGCTAAAGCAGAAAGCTATTTACTTAGCAGCTGTTTTTTAAAAAAGGGTCTCAACCAATCAGAATATGCCATCAGAACTTACTGTCATGTGATCCCTTATAATTCAGTAGAGTAAGAGTACTCTGCAAACTAAGTCTTTGCTTAAATTAGATGTCTGTAAACATGTTTTGTTGGTTGTTGGCACACTGGCTCAACTTGAATCACTGCTTTCTTCCATACTTCTAGTGTACGTGACCCTCTTTCTAGTACCAGGCTTTTCTCTGTGTGCTGTTGGCCTGTGTTGCGCGTGTGGACGAGACCCTTTTCTGTCTGTTTGTGTATGTTTAAAGTAGTTCTGTTGCCTGTAGCTAGAAGCTTCAAGTCATAAAAGGTTTTGCACTCAGCGTGAGACTTGAGATGCAGCTGTCTTCTAAAAGATGAAATTCCTTCTTTCCTCCCTTTCTTTCCTCATTCCCTCCTTTCTTGTTGCCAAAACACCCAACTGGTGATGTCAGACGAAATCTCTCCCAAACCTTCTCTCATCTCACTTTGAAGATGGTATAAAACTGTCGCTCAAATATTCAGCACAGAGGAGCTCTCACTGTTTCTGCTTCACACAGTCTTTTCTGACTTATGTTTTAAGTATTGCTAGTGGGGTTCACAGTATATTGTTTGTTGATTTTTGTGACATTAGCCTGTGCAATACTGATAACACAGAAGGCTGCAGTATACACTGGCAGTCTAAAAGAACTGCTTATACGCATCTGTTATGCAGTGCGCAAGAGTAGTCCTGGGACACAAACTGATGTCTTGTTTATTTTATTACTTCCCAAGCTAAAATTAGCATCTATTCAAATCCCTCAGAAGAGTTATAACAACTAGAGACACTCAAAAAAAAAAAATCCCAGTAGTTATTTGAGAACTTAAATAAGGTAAGCAAAAGTGCTCAAACTACTTATGTATGTTAGTATGTAGTATTTTATTTGGGCTAGTATTTTATTTAGGTTGGTTTTTAGCATTCTGTTGTGGACAGAGGATAGTACTCTAAAAGTTTGCAACTAACGTTCAGCCAGGCTTGTTGGAGGTTTTCTTCTGCACGGCTCCCTTATAATTTGATTTATTCAACTCAGTATTCTCAGTATAAGTTTTTTTAAGCAATATTTTTCAGTATATTAATGAAAATGGAAGATAATTAATGAAAGGAGAATTAATGACAATTTTGCAACAGCTGGGTTCAGTGGTGGCTTTCCAGGATTAGTGATGGAGATCTTTGGTTACAGCATATTTGTCCCACTTTCCTAATTTGCTATTGTGCAGTTGGTTTATAATATTATGTACTTCTGAATATAGTAAACCACAATACATGAACAAATTGAATCATTCCAAAAGAAATGACTGACCCCATAAGATGCCACACTGTTCATTAAGTGAAATTCAGGCGCAATTATTAACTCCTATCTTTCATAGAAGAAAGATTTAGGAACTGTTTATCTGATTGTGACTGTTTTGGTGGCCTTACAGGTCTTGCACAGGTGTTAGGGGATCTTTCTCTATATCTTTCTTTTTTTTGAAACACCATTTTCTCCCTTTGATTTTTTCCTTATGCAAGTGGATTATCTTATATCTAATGTCCTCAGAAATATTTCCTGAAAAATGAATAACTTGGACTTAATGGAGGTTTTGTAAATTAAATAAATAAAGGGTGGATTTGCACAGTACAGTACAAGCATGTGAGCAGTTCTTTTTGTCTAACAGTGTATCTATCTATATGTTCATCAATCCACTGCATGTGACTAATCTTCTGTGTCCTTCTTGCTCTTGTGGAATGGCTTTAGGTCTTTTTTAGTTGTTTTTTTTTTTTCTTCCTTTGACTGGACCATGTCCAGCAAGGCCTTCTAACACGCACCTTAACAAACCTGTCGAAACGGATGATAAAACCAGCAGCCTGAACGCAGAAGCGCTCATTACTTCCAGTCCCATTGCGTTTCCTTTCGAGTTCAGTCAAATCAGGTGTGCAAGAGCCGCTGGGCAGGAAATCATTTCTTTCCTCAGCCTAAAGTACACAGAAGAGGCTAGACTGAAGTCAAACATCTGGCTTTCGCTCTGTCTGTCTCGATCTTCTCTCACACATAACACACACGTGCATAGAGTGCAGTCTCGGATTCATTATCTGGGGTAATGAGAGCAATTCGAGGCTCATCGGTCTTGGCGTCTGCCTCTTGACTGTGCACTAATAAACAAGTTAATGATTGATGATAATGAAAGTGCCCTAAATAAAAGGCTAGACAAAATAATTAAAACCAGCTCTGTGTACATTGCCATCTCTGGCCAATCAATGTAAATGGAGGCAGTTCAATAATTCATTTGGACACTTGGGTTGAAAAGGTAGGCTTAAGGCTAGCCAGAGGCTGGAGAGGAGTGATGGGTGGATGTAGGGTAAATGCATGAGTGTGACTGTTAACTTCTTAAGTTGTTGTTTTGTGTAAACACTTTGATTAGATATCTTTGAGTCCATTGACAAAATAGCAATCCTGCGTTATATAGAACCTGAGTGCTGAGCATTGTGGCTAAAACAATTATTCAACATTATTGAGAATGCCAACAAAAGAAAGTTGACAAATGTTTCTATTGTAGTTGGGCAAGTAGAAGTTCTTTGCTTTGAGTAAAATCTCTTTACATACGTTTACATTGAAAGAAAAGAATGTTTTCCCCTCTCCTGTAAAGTTATCGTTTTGGAGATACTTGTTTGTCTTTGAACAGCGACAATATGCAAGTCTGATGTATCTTTCCTCGGAAGCACAATGTTACCTTTGACCACAGGAAATGCCAGTGAGCCACCATTACCCTAAGGCCAGAAACATACTCAAAGCAACTATGTGAACACAAATTTTGCATACTTGCATGAAATATGCAAACTATTAATAAGCTATTAGTAAACTATTGAACATTCTGCAGTTTGTCCTGCCACAGCTTAACATACATTTACCTAGCCTAGCTATGTAAAACTGTGTTTACATACATTTACGTAGCCTAGCTATGTAAAAACTATATATATATATATATATATATATATATATATATATATATATATATGTGTGTAGTATTAGCTTACTGTAGCTCAAAATTGTGGGCAGGCTTAAACAAAGCAGCACGTTATTTTTTATTTATTTTTTTCTGTGTTGGTAATTTAGCTCTTGGTCTCAGAACATTGCCAAACATTTTATTGTTACTGGTCTGCAGGCCACATTTAAGCCAATTAATTGATTATTAGTCGATTTATTCACATGGATAATCGACTATCAGAGTATTTTTTTTTCAGCCTTACTTTTGATATTAAACCTTAAAATTTAAAAGCATAATTTTCAAACTAATCTTTGTCAGAACTGCGTCGTATGGTCAAATATCAAAAACAACAATTGCAAAAATCAATGCGTTTTTCTGTACTTAGAAAGAACAAATAAGACTTGATTCAAAACACATTTAAAATAGCAAACAATTAACATTTTATGTCTTAGGGCATTAAAATATACCTCGAATTTTGTTCTGATGGTGTTTGTAAGTGTAAGAGGAGATATTTTATTATGATTTGAATTTTAAAATTTGTTGTTGAATTTAAAAAGTTGTTTGACGTCCAAACAGATAGAAA